TAATTATAATAAAGTTACAATAAATTAAGTTAATATATAATTATATATACAGTACCTAATTTATATATAATTAATATATAATTATATGTACAGTACCTAATTTATATATAATACTGTACAGACGATAGTAATCTCTCCATAGCGTGGCGCTTGATGGCGAAAAATAGTTCAGCTGCCCGATGATGATTATAGGAGTTTTTTTACCGTTTTTTACGGATACCGTCGCAATTTTTTCGCAGTTTTATAGGAATCGTAATTATAGGAACCCGTTTTATAGGGGGGTCTACTGTAATTGAACTTTAATTGAATGTTTTCAGCTTTCACCAAGTCCTACTTTAGGGTAATGAACTAAGTGACTTCCAAACTGGACTGTTAGAACAATGATGTTTGACTTTAAACTTTGTATATGTCAAATTCACACAGCCGATTGACTTCATTCAAATTTCTCAAACAGGTATTTCCACGCATGCACCACCATCTCGCAGTCTTTAAAGTTAATACAGTTGCCTTTCAAGTTGGCTTTATAAATTTCCAAGGCATCCAGGTGACAAATATGGTCTATTTGAAAGGCCTACCTAATTAATCTGGTGTTCTGGAGGTCCGCATGAACATCTGGGTCAGTGGCATACGTGGACAAGGCAGTGGTATGCCTGTTGTTCGCAAGGTCGAATTGATGTTCACATATCCTTTTGCAAATCGAACGTATGGTTGAGCCAATATAAATTAAGTCCCTTTGGAATCTATCATCCTTAAGAGGAACAATATACTCCTGGGCTCTGCTAAGATCTATTTTATCTTTTGCATTGTGTAGCAGCTTGTAAATTGTACCAGATCTCCTATATTTGATTTTTGTACCATTCTGGTTTGCAATATCCTTGTATAAGGTGTTCAAACGTTGATTGAACTGGTGCCCCTGGAGCCTGTGAGGTATTGTTGGCCTCTGTTAGAAGTAGACTGGGTGTTGGAAATGCTGCATGCAGCAAGTTGGCTGGCATAGGTGCGGGCTAAACTATGAATCATGTTTTTTCTGTAGCCGTGTTCAACCGCTATATTTTCTATATGTTGTAGCTCAAGCAGAATGTCATGCCTATTGGTGTGATGAGTGAAGGCCTATCTGATTAGGGCACAGAAGGCTGTGATTTTATACGAAAAGAGGTCAGGCATGGAAATGCCTGTTCAAGAAATTCAAACAAAGTCCATCAACCAAGTGAATTTGATATATACAAAGTTTAAAGTCAAACATCATTGTTCTAACTGTCCAATTTGGAAGTCAGTTTAGTTTATTACCTGAAGTAGGCTTCGGTGAAGGCTGAAAACATTTGGAAGTTACGTTAAAGTTCAATTACTGGTTAAAAAAGGTTTTGTTTGTGATTGTTTATTTCTCATTCCAGTATTTTTTGAGAAGACCGGAAACTCATCTTTTGTTGAATGAGAGATAAGAATAATGCAGGTTCTGTTTCAAACATGAGCTTCAAATATTGTTTAATAAGATGAAAAAATGCACTAATTCCTAACATTAAACATTTACATAAGTACTATATATAATATTAAGATAGTGAAAATGAGAGAATAAAGAGATAATGGAATATTTTACATCTTCACTATTCATGATCTCTGCCATAAACAATAAAGGAATCTCACTATGTTTCTTCATGCGAGGATAATATTGAAAACTTAATGATGCTGTGGTTAATTACTACTTTGAATGTAAATTTCATTGCAAAAAATTGATATAGATATACAAATCCATACATTTTTTAATTAGGAAATAATTATGCAAATTATTAAAATCCTTTACAACATCCAACTTCAATCTTATCTGATATCTGGTAAATACTAAATTCAATTTATTATTTTTATTTAAAATATTTTATATTATATATATAAAGAAAAAGCATCAAAAACTGCCACATGTAGCCATTCAGAATTTCATCTACTATGACATAATCTATATTTTGCCAATTATAAAAGTATAACATTGCACTCCAGCAAACCAAAGTACCTCCATTATTTGTTTCTGTCTTCAAAGATATAATCAACAATTTCAAGTACTTACAACACATTTTGAATTAAAAGTTTGTTGTAATCTGAACATATATTTTGATAGTAGTTATACTAGTTTTAGTAGTCAATAGTAATATCTGGGAAACTCAGGATAAATAATATTTGTTTTTAAAATAATGTATAAATTCAGAAATTATTTATAAATTATTCTTTATTTAAAATGAAAACTAACTAATTTATATTTGTAACTAACTATATTTGTCTTTCTATAGATATGATTATTCAGAACGTGTTTTACCTGAATCAATGAAAGATTCCGAAGAAGCTAAATATATCAAGTCTATGTTGGATAACATTGTACCGGAATCATTTAGTAATCAACAGTCTGTTACTAATGCAGAATATCATGACTTTGATAAAGATGTAGAAAGTTTTCAGTATCAGTTAAGAGAAAAAGAGAAGAAACAAAAAAGATATGAAATTAGTAAAATGAAACAAGAAATAAGAAAGCTTTGGCAAGAATTTCCTGATATGGATGAAGAGGCACTTAAAGAAAAATTTCCAGAAATTGATTTAGAAAGATTAAAGAGAGAAACTGAAAAATGAAATTTAAAAGTTCTCAATTAATTAATTTTGTTACATGGTATTTAAGAAATGAAGAATTTTAGAAAAGTATTAATTTTTATAAATCTATGAAAATTAAATTGAAAATTTTTATTTCAACAATTTGTTCATTTTGTAACTGTAGTAATTACATTTGATATTAACGATATCAAGCAATCTGTAATTAACTATACAAAGAAATCAGAAAGAAAGTAGAAAATAATGTTTTTTTGACTTTCTTTTATACTATATTTTATTTTATAATTTCACCTAAAATTTACAATAATTATGATTGTTACCATAGATCTTATTAATGATTTCAATTATGTAATTCTATTTATTATTTTGAAAAACAATTCAGTTTTAAATGATTTGTATATAAATAAAAGGGTAAATTAATTATTAAAATATGTATAAACTGGTGATATGCTACATAACAGTTGTTGCTATATATATATATATATATATATATATACTACACACACACACACAGTAGAACTCCAATAATCCAAGGTAATATAGAATGATGCTACCATGGCTAACTGGAAACTTATGCTCTAGATAAAACAGATGGCAATGGCCATTTCATATTCAAAACTAAGAAAAAAAAAGATTTGTGGTATCACTTTTAAGCCTCCTTTAATACCTTAGTGAATTTAATTGTGTAAGTACAATGATTTTTACATCATTTGCTATATAGCTAATGTGTATGATAATATGTATTGTAGCTACATTTTAATATGAATGATTTGTCTAACATTGAAATTAAATGATGAAAGATGGTATAAAAAAAAACATTTTGTTGTTCATGTTATTACTTGAAACTTTATGAATTACAGTACAGTATAAGGAATATAGTTCATTCACTTACAGGTTTATCTAGAATAATGCAGAACCTCAGATAATTGGGGTTTTATTGTGTGCATTTCTACTAGCAATTAGAAAGTTAAATTGCTGAGGATTTGTTTATTTGGCACTCAATATGAAAAATACCACTTGAAATTTTGGGAAACACTAAAATATAGTTTAGAATAATAATAATTAAGAAAAATATTTTTCCAAATAAGCATAGTTAAAGTAGGTTATAAAACACTAGTATGAGAAAGAGTGCATCTTACACTTTTCTAAAATACAGTAATTGCAATGGAAGAGTGAGATGGAGGGTTGGTGTGAATGTAAACAAGGGCTATGAAAAGCAAAATTAATCTTGTAATTTTGCTGCTTAAACTTATTGCAGTGCCAATAAGCTTGTATTTATTACTATAATGCAGTGATGGCAGAGTGGTTAAGATGCCAGCTTACCACTAGGAAACAGGCAGTGGAAAAACTGCAGGAAGTTTTCCAGGTTTTTGACCCCTATATCCTGGATATTTAGGCCCTGTCCACCATCTGGATACCCCATTGTGATCCTGTTGAATCCATATAAAGTAATGATTTAAAAACCCTCTTAGTGCCCAGAAGCAAGAGTCAAAAAGCTAATTTATACTAATTTTACTTTTTCCGTTGTTAGGTATACTCAGCAAAGGAAAGTGTTGGAAACATGTTAAGTTTGATCCTCCGAGATTTTTGCAAATCTCCACGTTTTAAGACCTGTTGAAGCCAAAAAACGGGAGAAAATTATGTTGGTGTGTTGGCGTCTATTTCGTTTAATACCTCAGGCCGGGGTAAAGATTAAGAAATGAAATGTGGCACGGTAGCTTGTATATAAGGGACATTGATATTAAATTTTGGTGGTTAATTAAAGGTCGAGAGGATGGGGAGATGTGTCGATCCAGAGGTGGGCAAGGTGGTTGGCTAAATTGGCCGAAGAAAATAATAATAATAACAAAACATTCTTGATTTCGAATAATTGATTACTTTTTCAAATTAATTAATTAAGTTATTAAATGTGTGAGGTCCGGGCCCTCGCTTATTATTTTATAAAATAATATTAATATTCAATCATTCATTTGAAAAGGGGCGCGAAAAACTATACAATAAGGTGGCGTACACATATTGCGACGACAGATTTTGCTTCATTTTTTACTCCCACATTCCTTTGTATTCAATTAACCACCACTGCCTTCACTCTCCATTTGCGCAATTATATGTACAATAAATGTCAATTAACAATTAATTAACAACAGAATATTCAGAAGATCTCCCATTCCCCTGTGTCAGTATTCATCAACACCCTGTTCCATCTCAATGTCGTCGCAATAAATGCACGCCGCCTAAACATGTTTGTAAGCCGAAAACGGGAGAGGGAAATTCTAAACTAATTTCGATCACCCCGAAAGCATAAACTGAACCAATTGTTTTATTTATACACTACGCCTATATTTAGAAGGGTTGGCAAATTACTATCTTGCCCAGGGCGGCATAATTGCTAGGTCGGCTCCTGTGGAGAGATAGCGGGGATGATGTGTCATACTCGAGTGGGGTTGGACTTAATGAAAATTTTACTCGTTATTGGCATTTACACTTAAAAAATAACGGTTAATGTCCAGGGTCGTAGACCATCATGGCGGCTCTTCCTGTTTTAGCCTCGAAACCGGACCGCTTTGGAGACGACGTGTCACGTGACGACGCGAGCGAACGGCGGCGGCTGCTGCGCCGCGATAAACGGGGAAAACCGACGCGCGGGTTAACGTCCATATACGTAGACTCATGGCGGCTCATCTCTGATTCCGCAAAAAAAAAAGGAAACAGTGGGGACGCACGTTCTAACCTAACCTAACCTAACCTATTCTAATAATATAATTGGTAATAATTATGATAATTTATTAGAATAGGTTAGGTTAGGTTAGAACGTGCGTCCCCACTGTTTCCTTTTCTTTTTGCGGAATCAGAGATGAGCCGCCATGAGTCTACGTATATGGACGTTAACCCGCGCGTCGGTTTTCCCCGTTTATCGCGGCGCAGCAGCCGCCGCCGTTCGCTCGCGTCGTCACGTGACACGTCGTCTCCAAAGCGGTCCGGTTTCGAGGCTAAAACAGGAAGAGCCGCCATGATGGTCTACGACCCTGGACATTAACCAAAATAACTAATCTCTACCCTAAAAAATTAAGCCTTTTACCTTTTCTATAATAATTAAGCTAATAATATATTTCATGTTTTAATAAAAATTTCTAAGAGATGGCGCCACGCCCTATTTTATTTTAAATAATTATTAACCAAAATAAATAAAAAAAAAAAACAACTACAAATAGATTTAGATTTTGTACTGGAAAATTTTTCTACAAGGGGAGCTACATAACTTTAGGAGAATGCAGTCCGACAAAACAGCATGTTGCAAATTTTCTTGGGGAAGCCGGGAAAGTCTTGCAACTCGTCGCTGGATCTTTGAACACTAGAAATCCTATAATTATTTTATAGTTTTTAATCATTTAATCTTTATACACATTCCAAATAAAGAATTCTACACTTTTATTGTTTGAATAAACAATTTTTCTACATCAAACAATATACTAAAGCAGTGTTTTTCAACCTTATTCAAAAAGCGACCCCTTTACAAGTTAAAAAATTCTTGCGACTCCCCAGGGCCATATTAAGGACAGGCAGAGGGAATTTTTTTTCTACAATTTTTCAAATTGCAGCACAATTTAAATAAACAAAGAGATGCGCACCAACGTTATTAATTTAAATATTCATATTTAAATAAATGTTTATATATACACACGTATGTATGATATTTATATACTAAATAAGAATAATTTCATTTTACTTTGCAACTTCTATTTTACAGCGGCGCTGAAATATAATTTTGAACAAAGGCTCATATTATCGGCATGATTTGAATAAAATTTAAATTAATATGTATCAAATATTTTTATGGATGTTTTTACTCCTCTCAACATACTAGTAAGTTCTCACGCGTTGGCTTATATTTTGAATTTACTCGCGATCCGCATTAATAGGGGCGGCTAACAGTCTAAAACCAGGCTTGGCCACGGCCGGATCGCTGAGCGGTCAGGGCGGCAGCTTACCACTCTGGTTAATCCGGGATCGAATTTAAACGTGTCGAAAAATTTTCTGGGATTTTTCGGAGAGGGTGTCCGTTTGGATATGTCGGGCCCCGTCTTTTATCACCCAAACACTTCATTGTGGGTTTGGCCGAACCCATAATGGACTTGCTTAAAGAGGCTCTCGTAGTGCCCACAGAGTGGAAAGAGTTAAAAAAAAAAAAAAGAACCGTAAGAACCGTGTCTGGCAGCAATAACACGATTTTGAAGATCAACTGACAAGTGAGTTTTATCTCGGACTTCATTTTAACTCTCAAGCTTGAGAACTTAGAACTGACTTTATTTATTTTATATTTTATTAATTTATCGATTTTTAAAATATTTTAAATTTCAGCATAATAGATAATCGAAACTACTGTATTTAATATATATAAATATTAGTTACAATTATTTCCGAAAGAGGGCGATATTTCAAAAGTAAAGTTCTCTCGGAAATGGAGAGGTTTGTTTTCAATTTTTGACGTATCACGTTAATTTGAAAATATTTCACGCGCTGCACGTGTATTGTTTATGATTGAAAATATTTTTAAAAATCAGTTTTAATAAATAACTATATAAAATTAAATCTTGTCATTCTAGAAACAGCGCCACGTTTGATATAAACGAGAAAACTCCTATAAGTATTTAAATTCTGGAGAGCACGTGTTTTCTATATCATATATCATATAACGCTTTGTAGGATAGTATACACAAAAAATAATTATTATATTTTTATGTACATAAAAAGCAATCACAAAAACATTTGTTAAATGGCTTGGAAATTTAATACATCATGTGATATTTAGAAATACATATGCATTAAGTAGAAGTTACTGTATATATTCTTCAATGACCTAGAAGTAACTTCTACCTTCATTGCTATTTAATGCATGTTAATTATAATGTTATCTTGTAATCTAGAACAAATAGCTTATTGCAGCAATGCCTTATTTTTAAGATTTCCTTCAGGTTGAGTTTAAATATTGAAATTTCAGTGTCTTAGTATTCAATGTTTTGTTGATGCGTAACAAATTATACAAGTGTCAAATTTTTATATTAATGATGACCATTCTGAGTATACAAAAAAGAAATTGCATTTGTTTGGAAATAAATCTAATATAAAGAAAATGGTACTGTATAAATTTTATAATACCATTTAAAGAAAATGGTATTAGAAAGATTAAATGTGGTTGAACTGTCTATCTCAAACATGTTCATTTCAAAATTTATTTTCTCCTCTGCATTTTCAGTCTAAATTCAATATATTTTCCATGTTTATCTTAAATAATTTTCTCTCAAAACATCTCTATATCTCAAATTATGGACTGAAGTGTCAATTACAATTTCAAAGCTCAACGAATATCTTTTGATAGCATAAATTGCAGTTGGGAAACATCTCTTGCAATACGATATATAGTTACAATTAATTTACACTACTTTTCTTTGATTGGCTATGAGTTTGGTTTGCATCTATGAGTTTGGTATGTCAAAAATGTTTTATTTATACATAATACAGGTATGTTCTGTATTAATGAAATGCTGTACCTCCAATCAAACCTATTACTGTTTCCTGTGTAGAAACCTGTCTGTCTCAAATTTTTCTCTTGTTCCCATGAGATTAGAGATAGACAGGTTCAACTGTATTTATATAATAAATTATATGTGGATGACAAATTCTATATTTGTACATTGATGATGATCTTTGGCCAGCAATATTGGAAAGATCAAAATATATTGAATCATAAGATACAGAAATAGTTCAATATAATGTTTCTTTTGTAGAGAGATTAGTTCACACTAAGTATAAAGATAAAATAAAAGATAATGTTTATGTTACAGAATTCTGAGATGTAATTAATGCAATGGATATATTTTCTTAGTGGAAACTTTGTATGAAGATGCTAAAGTGAATTTACTTAAGGAAAAGTTTACAGTTCTTTGTATATCATCATATAAAGAACATGGTATTGGTAGAGCTAGTGGAGGTATGTATAATAATTGATTTTAAAAAAATTTTGATTTGAATACTGTATTTTATTAATCTAGATTTATGATGATTTTATTAATTGATATTTTATATGTAAAATTGTGATTTTAGTGGTGATATATGTTTTACTGATAAGTATGACATATTTCTCAATGAGATATTGTGTTTTAGATACTGTTTATGAGTGATTATTGTTATATTATCATATGTGCTGATTTTAACTCCCAAATGAGAGAACTGGAACATTTGTCATTTTCATATTTGATGAGTTTAATAAATTTGAATTTATAATTAAAATTTCTGAAGATAAAGTGTGAAATCAGTGGAAGTAAATTGTTATACATATTTTGTGTTGTCATAATTTTAAATGATAAAAATGGGGAATTAACTTTTATGTCACATAATGGATCTAGTGTTATTGATTTAGTTTTTCTTTCATATGATTTATTTTTGAAAGAACTTACTGACTTTCACATTATACCTGTAATGGGTTCTGATCATCTACCTCTTTTGACTTACTTTTCTATTAATAAAACAATTTCTACAGAATCTTGTAATTCTCTAAAGCGTAAAATTTCACAATGGAACTTTAATGTTGCTGACTCATATTGTAAACTGTCAAACTTGTGACTTGGTAAAAGTTTTATAGATAAGTTAAATTTTGAAGATTTGGAATTTATTTTAGTTGAGATAGCATCCCAACTAGCTGGAAAGAACCTGACATATAGGTGAAAAAAAGGCAATTCCTATGGCCATGCAAATTTGGTAGTATATTGTAGTAGTTAAATCATCAAATTGGTAACTATTGAAAATATAATTTTACCAGTCTCTCTTGCACCTGCAGAATGATTAAAGATAAAAGTCAATTTCTTTTTCCATTATCTTACACTTTCCATCATTTTTATGGTTAGTCCTTTGTCTTCCAATATCTTGCAAACTTTTGCTAATCACCTATCATGTTTTTCAATTGTCCTACTGTGTACTGTGATATCATTTAAGAAATTCTCTATTCCTTCACAATCTTGTAGAATTGACCTCAAAATGCATTGAAACATTTCTGGTGCACAATTCAAACAAAACATTAGCCATTTGTATCTGTAGAGGCCTGGATCTGTCACAAAGGTTTTGATTTCTCGGATCTGGAAAGAACCTGACATATAGGTCCACCAGTTTCCTCCAGTTTGATTTGGTGATATGCATGACGGATATCTAATGTACTAAACCATTTGCTTCCCTGAATTTTGTCTAGAACTTCTTCAAGTACCAGTAGTGGGAACTGTTCTCTTACAATAGCCTCATTCACCCTGCACATGTCAATGTATAACCTAAACTTGCCCGAGTCCTTCACTACAGGAACTACTGAGGTCACTCGGGTTGGTCCCTTGACCCTTTTGATGATATCCTGATGGATAAGTGTTTCAATTTGTTCCTGTATTTGAAGACAAATTTTAAATGGGACTCTCCACAGTGGCTGGGCCACTGGGGAAAATGTTTGTCAATTGAGAGCCTAAGTTTAAAATCTTTCATTTTCCCAATTCCTGTCAATTTCTTTTCAGGTTGCATGATATTCTGGACCAATTTTTTTTAAATCTTTAACTCTACCTCTGTTTGGTAGACCAAAAGTCCCCGACCTTGACCTCTCAACAAAATTTGGTGAAAGTTCAAAGATCATGTTACAAAGGTGATTTGCTGACAACTTTAAAGTGTAGAAAAATAATTAGTTTTCTCAAATTTATGATCTTAACAGCTTTGTGGTGGCTAATGCATAATTTTTAATAAATCAGTTATTGAAAAAAGCAAAAATGTCTGAAAAATTACACCTACTTGATAACTACATAGCAGAAAAATCACTATATCAATTTTTATTAGTTACTTATTAGATAATAAATGACGTTATAAATGCAAGAATACCGAACACATTTCTTACCCCTTGAAGTGGCTAGCAAATCACCTTCATAACATGACATTTGAACTCTCATTGTCTAAACTCTTCTGTTCATAAAAGCAGTTTATTTTTCTTTTTCATTACTACTACTCAGGTCATTTTTGATGAATTAGTATTTAATCAACATTTGTGTTTTGTCATAATTTTTATGAGGACTATTTGGAAAGTTCATGGCCTTGCCTATATGCAGCACTTCGATCAATTTAATTTTTGGTGGGAGTAATTCAGCCATCTTTGCTAAAGATACAATACCAATTTCCGCTTGGTTTGTCGTAAAGTTTTGCCACGACAGATTAGCAGATAGTCAGAGTGCACTTGCTTTGTCAAAAATGGAGAAGACAGAGACTTGTGCAGTCATAAAATACCTGATGGAAAAAGGGTTGACCTCATCTCAAATCAATGCTGAAATGGATGAAGTTTTGGGAGAGTCTGCCCTTCGTACACCACTGTGAAAAAATGGACAGCCCTTTTTAAATCTGGCAGAGAGAGTGTGGAAGATGACCCTTGCAGCGGACAGCCCTTTTTAAATCTGGCAGAGAGAGTGTGGAAGATGACCCTCGCAGCAGTGGATGGCCATCAACTGCTGTCACTGAAGAAAATATTGACAAAGTTTACGATTTGGTGTTAGCAGATCGCCATTTGAAAACACGTGAGATAGCTGAGACAACAGGCATCTCTGTCGACTGAGTGCACCACATCCTAACCGAAAATTTGGGTATGACGAAGGTCTCAGCAAGGTGAGTGCCATATCTGCTGACCGCCGAGCAAAAATGTGTTCGCACTTTGATGTCAAAGGAGTGTTTGGACTTCTACCAGAAAAACTCACATGGCCGATTGCAGAGACAGAGTTTACATTAAACGACGTTTACACATTGGCTCTTACTTACTTCGCTATTACTCCCCTGTTTTAGGAGTCGTTCGGCCAATCGGATTATTTCTTCGTGACGTCAGAAATGGTCGAGTGAGTCAAGAAAATAGGTCAAATAACTTGTTTCTAATCGCTGTCTTGTAGACAGCGATTAGAAACAAGTTATTTGACCTATTTTCTAGACTCACTCGACAGCAGGTTTAGAGGGCTTTTCAATTCGAGTGGTAGCTTTGTTTGTGGAAAAGTTTAGATAAAAACAGACATCGTTTCTTTGATAAATGTTGTAAACGGTACGAATCGACAAAATTACTCATTAATTAATTAACTGCTCGGAACAAAAACAACAAAATGAAATACTTTAAATTTGTTTTAAATGTTCCAATTTCGATATTCAAATGGGTGAAGACTTAAAACTACAATTAAATCAGATGCATTTATTTACAATTTGAGTATCGTGTCGGTTATAAAACGTTAATGCATTTCGGGGTCGTTGTACTGTTAAACAAACGAGACAATTTTAATAATTACAGAAATCTGTTTATAGATATAAAAATGTAATATTAATAATAAAATATTTAAAATTATTCATTTCGACAGTAATAAGATGTCGAAATAATTCCTTAAAAATCTATTCCGAAGACGAATTTCAAATTCGGTATAAATTTTCTAAATATGGATTTGTTCATATTTTAAATTGTATTGGCAACAAAATTAAATAACAAAATAGAAAAGGATTGTCATTAATTGCCGAACAATGATTTTGACGGCCTTAAGCTTTCGGAATATAGCTGACGACCATTTCTGACGTCACGAAGAAATAATCCGATTGGCCGAACGACTCCTAAAACAGGGGAGTAATAGCGAAGTAAGTAAGAGCCAATGTGTAAACGTCGTTTAATGTAAACTCTGTCTCTGCAATCGGCCGACAGGATTTCTTGCATCGGTTTGTGATTACTGACGAAACGTGGATCCATTACTACTCTCCTGAAACAAAAGAACAGTCGAAGCAATGGAAACACCACAGTTCACCACCACCAAAGAAGGCAAAGACAGTTTCATCAGTGGGGAACGTGATGGCCTCAGTTTTTTGGGATGCTAAAGGCATCATCTTTATTGACTACCTAGAAAGAGGAAAGACCATCAATGCTGTTTATTACTGTGAACTTTTGAAAAAATTGAAGAAAAGAGGCCGCACTTGAAGAAGAAAAAGGTTCTGTTCCACCACGATAATGCACCTACACATTCCACCAGAATCACTGAACAAAAGATAAACAAACTTTGCTTCCAATTAGTTCTACATCCACCGTACTCATCTGATTTGGCCCCCAGTGACTTCCACCTTTTTCCAAAACTAAAAAAATTCTTAGCTGGAAAGAGATTCCACTCAAATGACGAAGTCAACTCTGAAGTGAACAAGTATTTTGCACACCTTGACAAATCGACCTATTGTGATGGCATAAAAAAGCTAGAACATTGCTAGAATAAGTGCATTGCTAACAAAGGAGACCACATTGAAAAATAAAAAGTTTTAACATTATTGTTGTTTGTTGTTGTGAGGCTGTGAACTTTCCAAACAGTCCTCATATGTTCCATTTAATTAAAATGTGATTTTTACAGGTAATTTAATGTTTTTGTAATGCTTTGTATTTTCACTTTATAGTGACTGGGTTAAAATACAACATTGCTATTGGCATGTATGGCACTTCCGAATAGCGGACAACTCTACTAGACAAACTTCTCAGTCTCGATGGTGTCCACTATTTGGAGGTTATACTATATAGATAAATTTAAAAAGAAAATTATTACAATATTGCATGAACATAGTTTATTTTTATTTATATAAACAAATAGAATCAATTCTACATACAATATGTATATGCAGTTTTGCTTTGTAACATTGTCCTGTATTTTATAAAATAACAAGTTACATATATTTTTTTATAAATAATATATAAATAATTAACATCTTTCTTTTATTCCAGAAGGTTCTAAATTTATTTAATAAATTATTAAAATTATAATTATTAATTTAATCAAGAGATGGCACCTAATGCCTCCCTCTAGTGTCAAATTGCTTTATAATAATCATTTAATTAGCCAAATTCTAACCCAATCTTTCAGGCGATCATTTGTTATTTCATTATATATTTTTTTTCAATTACAGGAAGATAGATAATGAATAAGAGAAATTTTGAAGATAGAGTTGGTATTCCATCAGGAATGGTTCGAATAATTTCATGTCATCATTTCTTGTCCCAAGATGTATTTTTATCAGATTCTGAACCTGTAGCACTATGTACTGCTCAGGAAAAATTATTAGTGGCAACACTCCATCATAGTATTGAAGTGCGTGATTTAGATCATAGAGGTCGTATCCTTCACACATTTCCTACTGTGGATCGTGTGAAACAAGTAATTTATTGTGATGCTGGTAAGTTAAAATTGAATTATTGGGTTGAGTCAATAAGTAGTGTCAATTTTTCTAAGCATTGTTTTCATTGGTTGCATGTGCTCAACTTCTGCTCGTGCTCGTGCTGCATAAAGGTACAAACCTTTATGCAGCAAACAGTACACTTAAGACAAGTAATGTTATATGAATTTAAAAAAGATAAAATTGCAGTTACAACAACAAACAAGTAGTGTGTAGGCAGTGAAACTTTAATATCAGAAAATGACAGCATTAGTTCAAAAAATTTGAGGATTGGGATTTCATTCTTGAAGATGGGCTTTGCTCTGGATGATCATCTGGCTTAGAAAATGCTGAAATTGTTGCAGTAGTGGAAACTGACCCAAAATTGTTTGGACAAGAAATTGCAAAACAAAACTAAAAACTTCATGTTCCAATCAATATCATTTAGGTGGTTACACCAAATAGGAAAGATAAACAAATGTGGATATGGGTGGACATGATCTTACTGAACAGAATTATCTGAGTTGATTATCGATGTGTTTCCCTTCTTAATTAATAGACAACAGAAAACCCCATTTTTGTACAGAATCATAACTGTAATGAGGAGTGAGTATTATATGCTAATGTCATTTGTAAAAAATAGTGGTTAGATTCAAAAGATACTCCAGCTCAAGAACCAAAGTATGGTCTTTATCGTTGAAAGGTATTGCTGTGGTGGAATATGAGAAGAATACTGTATTTTGAGTTGTTGAATTTAAATGAAACAGTAAATGTTACTTTATAATGTTGGCAATTGAAAAAATTTTGTGAAACAGTCTAAGAAAAATGTCCATAATTGACAAACAGAAAGAGCTTTATTTTGCTCTTTAATTCTCAATTGTATATTGCAATAACCACCCAACAAAAATTGGAAAGAGTTTAATTGGAAAATGATCTGGCACTACAGATTAAGCACCTCTTTTGATCTCTTCAATGCAGTTTTAATGGAAAAAGTTTTTAATTCAAAAGAAGCTATACAGAAGTACATAGAAACACTTTTCAAATTAATATCTGATGATTTTTATAAGAAAGACATCAAAACAAATTTTAGATCAATAAAAAAAAATGCCATATTTAGTGAAGGACATTGTATATTTAATCAAATAAATATTTAATGTAAATAAGATCTGTTAAAATTCATTAAAGAATGACATTACTTATAACTCATCCCAATTATGCATATTTTGTTAGAACTGTGAAGTGAAAATTTTGAAAATTAAGAGAATTATTAAAATAATAAGTATTTAAAATGCTTGGTTTTTAGGTAATTACGTCGCAACATTAGAAAGGAAATCTTCAAGACATTCTAATCCCATTACCTATGTGAGAGTATATTTGAACTGGTGGATTGATATGAAAGGTCAGCCTATGAGAGTTCGCATAGCAGGATGTGTTACACCCAGTAGTCAGTCAGGTAGTGGACAGTTAGAAATGGTTGAACTACCCTTAGATGAAATGGCCCTAACTATATGTTGTTGTAAAAAAACAGCATCACTTGTTATTGGCAAAGGCAAAGTTCTTAGTGTATATTCATATAATTTAAAAATACATGACATTTCAAAACAGAGATTTCATGACTTTGATCATTTAATGGATATATCACTTAATTTCCCTGTTCAAGAAATGACTTTAGTTGAAGATTATTTTGCTTGCATGTCAACAAATGAAATTCAAGTATTTCGTGTTATTTTTGATGTAATTCAAGACCCTACAGATGTTTCAGAAAATATGTCATCTTCAGGAATTTCTGAAAAAAATAAATCTATTCAATCTGATAATAATTTTAAAACAGATAATCAAGATGATTGTATTGAATGGTGTTTTGAAACATATTTTGATACTTTATGCACAAATAATGGCCAACAGTTATCTTCTATACTTCATGAAAATTCTTTTCCTGTAACTATTCAGCTTCCTAGTATAATGAAAATTAATCAGATAGGTAATATAAAACCTTATAATAATGAAATTTGTGGTCCTGTAGTTAATATTCCAGGATGCTATGTTGAAGTAAAAATTAATCCAAAATATGAGACATGTGAGAACATCACTATTAGTAAAGCTCAAGTGATTACATTACTCTACAGATACTTTCCTGAGAATGGAGATCATGGTGGATTACAGGGATTAAACCTTTGTCCATTTTATGTTGAAGGTATGTTTAATTAATTTGTATTATGAATATTATGATTTTATATATATATTTTTTTGTAATAATTACACTATCTGCTAAATTATAAATATCATTTACAAAACCAATACTCCAGCTTTTAAAACAAAATGTTGAACTAAAACAAACATTTTCAACATTTCTTTTTCTTTCAATGTTTTGCAAGTTGGAGTTTTGGTTTTGTAAGTGATATTTATAATATATTTTTTGTATTTAAAAGATAGTTAATAAGAAATATAAAATATAATAATTAAGTAATAGCTAGTCTTAATAAGTAATACAGTATAATTCTGTAACTATTAAAGTTAATAGAATGCCATTTTTAGTCTAATTATTATAATTATATGCCATACTGGAATATGCAAGGTATGGTTAATCAAATACAGCTTGAGGAGCCATTAAATGGAATAATGTACTATTCTAAATTAAATGTATCTGATTTAGTGTTCCTATTATTATAATTAGAATATATTTGCATACTTGAGTAAAAATTGTAAGTTCAAATTCCTTTTTAGACTATTTTATCCTAGACTTCTAAATTTAATTACACTATTCTAAGTTATCTAATCATTAAAAGTATCAAGAAATAGTGATTTGGAGGAAACTTTCTAAATAGCTAAAAATGAGAAGTTAACTGAATTGATAATTTATTATTGTAATGAAATTAGGCTTTTGTATACTTATATATAGTATTTTCATTGTAGATAAATTTAATAGATTAATGGTGGATCCTTTAAGTGCTGCTGTTGCTGTATCAGAGTCATACTTTCTTAGTAATTCACCATTACATTCCCCATCATATCATAAATTGAAAGGATTAGGTTGCTTTCTCTGTGGATCACAAGTTGGTTATTTATATGATGTGATGACAAATCCACAGTTAATTTGTCAATATACATTCACTGCATCAATGAAAAGTGTTGCTGTAGAACCAGAATTAATTCATGTGTTAACTGAGACTGGTCTAGAAACATATACTTCACGATTAAGCCATAAAATAATTCAACATATTGAAAATATTGATAATCTTGGAAATGTAAGTATAAAGTTTTATTTTTAGTTTCTTCTAACAAAAAATTAAAATACTTAATACTAATATATAAACAATCTGTAATACTTTTTAATTAAAATAAAAATGTATTACCATATTTATTGAAATTATTTTCATCATTATAGAAATGTCATCTTTAGCAAAACAGAAATAAAAACATTCCTTATAAACTATTGAACATCTATCTAATTCACCCAAAACTATCTTTCTAGAGTTCATATTTTTATCATTGTAGCACTTTTAAGTTCCAGAAACCAATATTCAGGGACATTAACAATCAAAGTAAAAATTACACATTATTTAGAAATCATACCTTTAATCAGTAGTTCTCAAACTGTGCTGAAGCACCCAGAGGTGCCATGGCCAGATTAGCCATTATTTAGAATTCATTCCACATATTAATTATAACTACTTACTATTAGTGAAGTAGATAAGTACAGTAGATATTAAATTTATTACAAACTGTTGGGCAAATGGTTATTTGCTTTTACAAACAGGAATTGATGAAATCCTTAAATTTATCAGTTTATAGAATAAATAATAAATAATCCAAGTTTTAATAAGATATTAAATATTTAGTTTAATTGCTACTTGAATTTTATTACATTTTTTAGTTAGTCATGCAAACCAATATTATAAAAATAAACTTTTGTGTGGTAAGATTAGGGATGCTGGAACAAATTTATGGAACCAAGGGATGTTAGCAGAAAAAGTTTTGGAACCACTGTCTGAAATACACTCTGCACTCTTCATGTCTCTTTTTTATACTCTAATGGATCTTTGCATATCCCATCTTAGTCAAATGTTACTGTAGTTATTTTAATATTACATGCCAAATTTAAAGTTGTCATGTTCCTGTAAACAGTTGTAAAGTTAAATTTAATTTTCTGTTGTTTATTTATGTATTCTAACTGTTGAAGCCTTAATAATACAGTGAAAATTTTATTTATTTATTTTTTTTAACTTTTTTACTTTGTTTTTTTTTGTTTATACTGTATCAAAGTTCTAAACTTTACTACATGTACAATGGGTTAATTGAATAAACAATAAACTTTTGTAGCATTGTATTTATTTAACATTAAGTTAGATGGGCTATTTCATCAAATGTATGATTATTTTTATACTATTGTGGAGCACCATTTGTATATATATCTCTCAAGGAACAAACCAAAAAAAAACATATAATTGAAATTTAAGTCAAGTTGTACCATAAGATGCAGAACTAATAATTTTTATGATGAACTTATTAGTTTTTTATTAATATTATTTTTAATGAATGATTTTACAGTTTATTTTTATTTTTATTTTTTCTTTTACTATAATAGTAATACTTTTCTATTGAACATCTTTCTTCAAAGTTTCATTGAGCAGTGATCAAGTAGATGTAATTCATATATTGTACTTAAATAACAGCAGTACATTCCAAAGTGATTTTTGCTTATTTAAAACTTAAATGTCACTTGTTATATGGTGCCTGGTTATAAATTTTTAAAATTTTATAATATCTATTAAGAACTGTTAGAAGTTCTACATTAGAATTGTTAAGAATTGTACTTGGAATACTTTCTGAAATAAACTTGTTTTATAAAAGGATAATTCTTTGTTTATGGACTCTTTTGCTGTAAGAGAATACTACAAACCTGTAGACATTATTGTGAGAGCATTATTCCTGTTTGCAAATAATTTACTTCTGATCCTTTCTTTCTGAGAAATATGTTTGGTGGAGCAAGTTTATGCCATTTAATTTTAGTAATATGGGAAAGGTGTGTGACAATAGAACAAAGAATGTGTTCTAGAACTTCTGAATACATTTTGTAAAATAATGTCATATCTATTATCTTTATCAGTTGGATAATGTATGAATGAAATTCTTCACTATTGAAAGGAATATAATATAAATGGTTTTGAGATCAACACAAATTGACATAATAAAATTTCTTAACTGGAATAAATGTAAAAATAAAAAGTTCCAGCCTGTTTCAGCAAAAATTTTTAATTTTCTGACATTTTCAGCTATCTATGCAGTCATCATCAGGTATGAACATATAATGGAATAGTTTTTAAAATTTAAATTCAATAGTGTTCCAAATATGGATCAGTGATGTACAATTGCAATAACATAAATAAATAATAATAATAAAGTATACAAAATATATTAATATAATACATAATAATATACCATAAAAAATATAAACAATAATAAACACGGGATTCATTGATTGTATAACAATAAATTACTGTATAGTTTTTATCTCTGTATGGTATATTTATGATATATTATTATGTATTATATAATTTTGTTATTGTAGTTGTATGTCACTGATCCATATTTGGAATACTTTTGAATTAAAATTTTAAAAATTATTCCTTTATATATTTGTTTCTAATGATGACTGCATAAATAGCCAAAAACATGCTGGACAGGCTGAAACTTTTTATATTTACAAATTGACATAAATGATAAAGATGTATAAATGTGAAACATATAAAAGGTGCTCTATTGTATTTGGTTTATTATAAAATATTTTTATATCATTTTATCACATATATTAATAATTTTATTAAAAATAAAAATCATTTGTATTTGTTTTTAATTAAAATTTTAACTCTTAACTTTTAATTTATTGTTGTCTTGAAAAGATTTTGATCTTGAAGTACAAGATGATTCAGATAAAATTCCAAATTTTAGAACTGTTTCCACAAAATAAGTATTAGTATCATGAGAAAAACAAAACATAAAATTAAAGAGAAAGGTTCAAATTTCATTTTAGGATATGTTAAATATGTTTTCCAGGCTTTGCCAAAGTTTCATGCACATGGATTTGTCAAATACATGATTCAGAGTCTAGATCCGCAGTAGTTTAGTCAATGTCTGCAATACCTGATTTTATATGGAAACATATGAAGATCCTTCCTGACTATCTGTCAGTATGTTGTGCAAGAAATTTCACACTCATCCAATAGCCTTTGAAGTGATTTTTCCTCAAACTTTCTGCACACTTGCTTAGCGCACACATTTTCTTTGTTGCCATCTGATGAAACCTATGCTGATCTTCAACATTGTCAATTTTGCCAAATTGTTTTACCTATTGCCAGATTGACTTCATATCTGATGTCCAAGCACACTTAAATTCTTTTTTGAAACATTTTAGCACTACAATAATTGACTTTATTTGATATTAAACTATTTAAACAGCTTTGTTTTCTGTGAAATGCTCAACTTACAATCAGCCACCTTTCTTTAATACCTCTACAACAAGCATTGATTGTGCCATCTACCAAACAAAATTTTAACTTTTCTCGTTTATTTTTCGTTTATTTTCGTGGCACTAATAGTTACTTTGCAGGACTAGTATCAAAATATAGCATTTCAACTGAATCACCTTGTAGTAGTTATATTAAACCAAAAACTTAAATTAAGTACTTTAAGATTTACAAATTTGATTTAGATAAGTGAAATGATATGTATTAAAATTTGGTTATATTATGTTTTCATAGTCTTGTCCAAATAGTGAAGAAGCTGTTTGTCTTCTTGGTTTAAGACCATTTCTTGGAGTTGAACAGCTTGCTCTTTCAGAAAATCACCTGGTTCTTGTTTCAACAACAGATGATTCAATATCCAGTACAGAGTAATTAAATTATATGTTATTTAATTTTTTTAAATAGGGATAATCTGTTAGTTATTGTTATGATTTCCTTTTCTATTTATTTAATAACTTGAAATTTCTAAATATTGTATTTGTATTTTATTTATTATTATTATTATTATTATTATCATTTACTTTTATATTTGTCTTTATAAAACGTATGACTCACCAACCAATTAACCGGTGTGAATAACATTTAAGTGACAAACGTTTTTGTTGTCACTTCTTCAGGTCTCTTCTTAAACAAGAGACCTGAAGAAGTGCCTAGAAGAGGTAATGGAAACATTTGTCACTTAAATGTTATTTACACTGGTTGATTGGTTGGTGATTTGTACATTTTATACATCCCTGTGTTATGAAGTTAAATATTTGTCTTTGTTTATTACTGTTTTTATGTCTATAAAATTGATGAAAATAAATAATAATAATTAAAAGAACATACTGTTAATTACTTCCACTGTAGCAACTGAAAATTCCATTGACCTTTTATTGTAAGCTATGTTAAAATCCTACATTCTAAATTATGAAATAATTTTAATGTATTTTTAAAGTATTATACAATTTAAAATTTTTTTTAAATAAAATAACAGAAAGAAAATTGTCAACATATTGTAATCTAAAAAACATCTTTTATGAAAAAAAGTTGGAAAGTGCAGTCTTGAAGAGATGTGAAATTTTAAAATATTAAATTTCTTGTCTATATATTAAAATGTCTTGAGATGAAGACATTTTTGTCAGCAATATACCAATGTTACTTTTGCTAACTTTTCAGTTTAAAAATCAATAGAAGATATCATAATTTTGTATAGATAATCGCAGTGGCATATAATCTACACTGGCAGTTGTCCTGCAAAAAATTGCTAGTATGGAAATAAAATTTTTTATTTGTCATTTGTTGCATACTTCTGAGTACTTGATGGTGTACAGTTTAGATGGTATTATCATTGGAAAAAATTGTGATAGCTAATGAAAACATAAACTTAAAAAAAACAAAAAAACAAAACAAAACAAAAAAGCATTTGCTCTACAGAAATATTGTCAAATTGTGCAAAGGATTTTTTTTTTGTGTGTTTTTAAAAGATGCTCTAGGTAAAGTTAGATAAAAGAAAAACTGTTGGATGAATTCACAATTGCAAGTTACAATTAGAAAATATAATTTTTTTTTATTTTCTTACAAATAGAGATAGCCCATGGTTTATCTGCATGAAATCATGATAATTAAAATGATGAAGGATCAATAGAAATGATGTAATTTGCTACAGTTATTTACTCCTGAAAGTATGTTTTATGATTCCAAAACATCAATGTTTTTCAGTTTCTAACAAAGCATTTGCATGTATATTTTAAAATTTCTTATTTATTGAAGCTATTTCCTCTATTATTGATAATTAGTCAAAATATTATATGAACTTTAATGCAATTTTTTTGTTTTAAGAGGATTATTTTTTAAAATAAAAATATTTATAATTGTAATAATTTAAATTAATTTTTTAGGTCTATTGATGGTGCAAGCTGTACTATATATTCTTTAAAAAAACCAACTCCACAACAGCTTTATTGGGATTTGGTAATATGAAATAAGTTTTACTTTACAGTTAAACTTTTATATATATAGTGTAAACAGTACAGTAATTGGCCATTTTAAATGTATATCTCCTTAATAAGACTTCTATAAAAGCTATTCTGGAAATATTACACACCAATATTAATACAAGTTTTTATTGTCAGAAGTAGCAAAATAGTCTGTAGGTTTTTCTGTCATTGTGTTTGACCAATAAGTGTAGACTTTTTCATTTTTATGAAACAAGCACATTTTGAATTAAGCTGTTAGAATTTGTAATTTCTAGATGTTAGCAATAGAAAAGCTGTAAAAAAATGAATTCATCAGTATCATGTATAATATTTCCTGATTTAATCTTTCTGTTTTCTCATAAAATTTTCAAAATAAAAATTTCCTTAAATGGCCATTGATTGTACTGTTTACCTTGTATATATTTTCATGTGTATGTTATATTTCAATACCAATTAGAATTTTAATTTATTCATGTCTTTGTAAATGTTTTGCATTCTGAAAAATAAAGATCAAAATTCATTTTGTTTAGCAGTCAGTGTTTAATAATAAAATTATCATGAGCAAATATTTATTTGTGACTAAGTAAATGATCCTAAATTCTTAATTCTTATACTATATTTCATAAATGTATGAAATTAGCTTACTTTATCACTACAGGTATACCTCGAGTTACATTGTTCTTGATTATACGTCATTTGTCAAAGAAATATATGGAAAAATAAAAATCAAGTTTAAATCATTTTGTTCGACTTTACGTCTGTCCGCCACAAATAATGAAGTCATAATATCACTAGAAAAGCATTAAAGCACATAAAATCATATTAAAATATGTAAATTTACAGTGAATGTTAATATAATCATCATAAATCCTAGAGAATGAAACATGAAAACATCTGTGACTGCGTTGTCATCTTATTTAGTGGTCTTTAAGTGCTCAATATTGGTGTTTTCCACGGTAGTTTTAATATCTACCATTTGGCGTCATTGTCAGCACCACTCGATATTGGTAAATTTAATATAAATTAGTTTATTTTCTACTGTCGCAAGATAATTTTAATAACTGTATTTGTTATTTAATGTTACAAAATCATCTTATTTTATAATGTCTTAGAGCAAACCATATTCACAAATAAAGAGTCTGCGATGTATTGTAAACATTGCTATACTTGTAAATGTACGTACAGTACATTTACAAGTATGTACTGTATGTACATGAATTCATAAATTTAGATTACTTTTTCTGTACTATATTAAAAAGTAAAATTTATTTGTTTNAAATAAAGAGTCTGCGATGTATTGTAAACATTGCTATACTTGTAAATGTACGTACAGTACATTTACAAGTATGTACTGTATGTACATGAATTCATAAATTTAGATTACTTTTTCTGTACTATATTAAAAAGTAAAATTTATTTGTTTGTAAGCTTAAAATAGATTCTTATTAACAATATATTACAAATGCATTTATAAATAAAATACAGAACTGGGAATAGTTATTTGTGGTTTAGCCTAGTGACAAGTAAGTTCAGAGACAAGTAAATTTGACTTACATCGTTTTTTGACTTAAGTCGCCTCTCCTGGAACCAATTACCGACATAAGGCGAGGTATACCTGTATTTTATATTTTTGTTCTCATTTTATATTGATACTGTATTCTTTAAAGAAAGAATATAGTGCCAAAATGTTTAAAATAAGGATTTTTGAAGAAATTGAAAATAAAAGCAGCAAAAATATTCAAATGAAGTTTAGAAAAATTTTATATTTAAACTCTTAAGTGTGACTGATGATTATAATATAATTTATTACTATACTGTACAAATGATAAAGAAATACATTTTATAAAACAAGTAAATGGTTTTATTAAAGTATTAAAATAATTTATTGATTCATCAATAAATACATAATTATTTGTTTGTTCATGATTATTATTATTATTATGATGGTGATGCAGATGTGATATTCAGATGATGCTAGTGCAAGAATTATGTCAAACTGCATAGTTACTTAACTGCTTTCTTGTGTTTGTATACTCTTAATGTATCTATCTGTTGAAATTTTCATATAATTCTAATAAAGTAAATTTCCATTTACTGTATTAGAATTTCACTCAGAATTTCCATTTTGTCAGATTTCCTTTAATAGAGGATTAAGTGTTTATTAACATAAAAAAAAAATTGAAAAAATGTTAAAATATATATACCTCTTTATGTTTCAAACAAACATTGAAAACACTGAGTTGTATAATTGGTGCAAAGAAAGAAATTAAAGCTCAGTACATCCAGAATGTAATTTAATTGCTCTATTCCTGAGATATATCACTTTAAGAACACTTCAGTCTCAGAACTGGATAGTAGAAACCAAAGCGAAAACACATATGAACCTCAACGTCAGTCCAGCAGTGAAAATATTAAAAAGTTCAAAAGTTTTCCATCTTAGAATTCAAGCATTCCATGTTGGATCTCAACTTTTTCTAAAGATCTATGGAGTTGATTGAAAACATTTGAACTTTTTAATATTTTTACTGATGGACTGACTTTGAAGTTTGTATGTGTTTTTTGTTTTGTTATATCACGTGTTACTCACCATTTAATTCATTAACTAATGTTACATTAGAATAACTTAGAACTTTTCAGTTTTTGTTTAAAAATGATTTTTGCATTATCTGTAAGAATAATTGCTGTTAATTTTTGTTTATACTTCATACTAGTATTATATTATTGAATTTTGGTTAGTTTCAAGAATTTTGTCAGTTGATACTAGTTGTTTTTGTTTAACTGATTTGGTAAGTGGAAGTGATTTGTTTTAAAATGTTTTGTAAGGATGCACCGATAAGCAAAATGGCCGATTACAGATTAATCGGCCATGCATTATCGGCCGATACCGATTAATCAGCAGATTAGTGTTAATAATTTATTGCATTAATAGTGTGAGATCCTGGAGTTAATTATACAGTTAATTATAATGTGGAAAAAATCCATTTTTCTCCACCTGGTGTTTCCATCTCCCTCAGATCAGGTAAACAAGAGACGATCGAATATCCTCACAAAATCAACAATCTCTTCCTTTGTTTCTAAAATAAATCTCAACACTTAATTGTTGATGCATGGAAACTTCGACATTGTTTAAAAAGCTGAAGTGTTTCTGTGTTTAACAGAAACAAAATATATTTCTTTAACCACTGATATTTGGACAGCAAGTACAAACAATTCTCCTTTTTTAAGTGTAACAGCCCACTGGTTGAATGATGATTTTCAGCAGGAAACAGCTGTTTTGCAAATTGTTTCCTTTGAAGGTTCCCACACAGCTACACGAATTAGTGAACAGTTAAAAATTGTTCTTGAACACTATAAGTTGACAAGTGATAAGATATTCTTAGTATTAAGAGCTTCTGCAGCAAATCTGGTAGCTTGAATTAGGAATTGCAACTTAGAAGCATTATCATGCTATATATATATGCTGCAGCTGACACTAAACGAATGCATATTTTCTGAACAAGATGTGAAAACTATAATCACAGTTGATAGAAATATTGTCACACATGTTAATCATTCTGCTGTAGCTGTAATCAAATTGGAAGATTTGCAAGAAAAGTTAGGTTTGCAGAAACACAAATTAATTCAAGATGTTCCTACTCGCTGGAATTCTACATACTACATGTTGGAACAGCAAAAGGCCTTTGTCACATATGCTACAGATAATAAAATTCCTACATTGAGCCCATATCAGTGGTCTCTTGTTGAAAAAATTGTTCTACTTGTAAAACCATTCAAAGAAATTACTGTGGAAAGACAGCAAACGAGAAGCCACTTCATCTTCAATAATTTCCACAATAGAGACTGAAATTATTCTTATCAAAAGCAAAGATCAGTAGTTCCTTTAGTGGCATTAATACCACAACAGAAGAACTAGAAAATTCAATAAAAAAAAAAAAAAGATTTACAGCAGATATAGAAAACAAGTCTTTATGCTTGTCATTTTTATTAGATTAAAAATGAAATTTCAAAAAAAAGGATATGGTAAAGGAAATAAAAATATGGGCAATTGATAGCTTAGATGTTGATAATTCAAAATCTCAATAAGAATTAAATTCTGAAGCTTCTACTTCTGGAGGTGATCAAGATGGAGGTGAATCTCTAAGTTTTTTCGATTTATTTGATGAATTAGCTTCTGGTAAACAAAAGAATGAAGAATACCATGTTTTTAAAAAGAAAAGAAAAAAAAACGAAAGAGACGAACAAACGTTTCGATCAAGAATTAGAAACATATTTACATTTATCCCTAATTTGAGCAAAATAGCTATGAAATATTTAAGTGCCTCAGCATCTTCCATTGAAAGTGAAAAAATTTTCAGCACTGAAGGTAACATTTATGAGCCGGCAAAAAATAGGTTATGCCCTGAAAATGGTGAAATTCTCATGTTTTTGCATTACAATTTAAGGGTTTTACAGTTTGAATATTAAATTTTTATTTGTTTTATATGTTTAAAGTTTAAACTTATAAAACAAATAAAAATTTAATTTCTCTTCTTAACGTATTCAATACTCTCTTTTTTATTTAAAGTTTAAACTTTATACAGTATTATACGTTATATTATACTAATAATATGTATCGATGAAAGGAATAATTTGAATTGTAAAATTTTTTTAATATTCAGTTTGTCATGTAATAAATAATAAATATACAACAGAAATTTATTAGGTTTTATTGCTAGCATTGTATGTAACATTCTAACAAAAATATCAAAATGTAAAGTTGGCCGATTACCAAAACTGATTAATCGGGGAAATAGCCGATACCGATTAATCGGCTAAGTGGACAATACAGCCGATTACCGATTACTCACCGATTAATCGGTGCATCCTTAATGTTTTGCCACAATCATTTGATAACTTTAATTTATGAAAAATAGGAATGTATTGAATCAATTTTTTTAAGTTTACTGTGAGAATCGGGATTTATTAGGTTAATTAGTATAAGAAAATATATTATTTCTCTACACATTGTTTACGAAAAGGGAAGTTACATTCATCGTTTTGAAGGAAAGGGAAATTAACTTCCTTTCCCACATAGCCTGATCTGTAATTTGGATGGCCCTATGTCTGTTTACCCTCTTTCCACTCAACACACATTCTGTAGAAACTATGGTCTCCTTTGATGCTGTTGTCTAGAGAATGTATTAAGAAGGGCAATTTTCCCATGCAATAAAATTTTCATAGAAATTTGACATTGCCTCACAGATGACAGGCAGTCCTTGAAATTACAACCTGCCATACAAGACATCTCTTTGTTCAAAAAGGTCTCTTTTAACATATTTTAACTTTGTGCACTTACATAAAGAAGAAGAAAGTCCCACATCCACCTCCCATACTCCTCCAACTACAGAAGAAGACTACTGACTGACTTACATTGTAAGCTAGTATGATTTATATTATACTTGTAAACTCTTTCTCGCAAGGATAGGATAGAAATTGTTACTTTCTCATTTAAGATTAGCTGTATATGCTTGGCATAATAATATATCTAAGAATAGTGGCATAAAGTTAAGTTCGAATATGCTAACTTGTATTTGATTTGGAGCAATGTATATAGTATATTTCTTTTATCTATTAAATGATAATTGTTATGTTTACTTATTGATTTCATTTATTTGCTAAGTTCAAACCATTCACCCGCTACAACTCTGAACTTACCTGCAACTCACCACTCGCTATCAAATAGCCCTCTTATTTCTTAAACTTTACATAAATGCATGATAGGGCATGAGTACTTTCCTATCTGGTGTCGGGAGCCTGACAGGAGACGATCGCCTTGTCTCTGCACCTTTTTTAACTTTTAATTTATTGCCATCTTATGACCCAGTGGGCAAGTCTTACGGACTTGGTTGCCAATTAAGCAATAAAGAGTGATAACTAAACTCTTTACTCCCCTGGTTATCCTCACATTACTATGTTTATTACTACTGTGTTTTTAGATTTTTTTAGCATGTGATGTTTTTCACAAACGATTTATGTATTTTTTTTAAATATTCATTAATTGTAAGGAATGAGTTAATTCTTCTAGTTTTGAGGAGAAACAGCAGTATTGCCTTGTTTCAGCTACTTTCCATACAATTACAAGTATAATTTTGACAAAGAATAAAAAATAATTAACTGTAACTCTTATCATTGAAAAGTATCAGTCATAGTTTATTAATTATGATTTAGAATATATTTTAATTTTTTAAGCCTGAGTAAGCCAAAGTAACTGTTATATCTGTTCAAAAGAACTGTTGAATTTATTCTGTTCGTACAAAATAAATAGACTTATTTAGGCTAGAAAAAGAAAGCACTAACTCAATTGGGTTAGTGCTATACTTTTTAAGGGAAAAAATTGGTTTAAATTTGTTTTGATGTGCCCGCAAAGTGTAATTATTGGTTAAACTTAAAGATTTAAATTTAAAACTATTCTACTATTCCAACACTTATGCATTTTGCAACTGATGGTGAATTTTAGAGTTTGTAAATGTTATTTTCATAATAAAGTATTGTTTTGGCTTCTGTATTAACTGAATTTTATTTGATAAATAAGGATTGAGTTATTTGTCATTAAATTAAAAATTTTCTATTTAGTATTTTATATATTATCTAATAAAAATTCCACTTACTTAAGCCTGTAACTGATGTGAAACGGTAAAACGGTTTTATCGTTTCACATTGGTTACAGGCTTAAGTAAGTGGAATTTTTATTATACAACCCAGTGTGCATATAGGAGTTATATATACAGTGGAACCTCGGTATACGACCTTAATCCGTTCCTGGTGTTTGGACGTATACCGAATAGGACGTATACCAAACCAACCTTTTCCATAAGAAGTAACGTAAAAATGATTAATCCGTTCTCATGTAAAAAAATAGCTGGCTTTAAACACCTCTCTTTCCTCGCTAGTTTCTGCTTGATTTTTCGAGATCAACATGTATCCTTTTAACTTTCTCGCAAATAATTTCTTCCGATACGCTGTCGCCAGCACACTGTTTTTCAGTTATCCAAAGCAAAAGCAATTTCTCGACATGATCTAATGTCTTCGATCTTTGTTTAGAAATTGATTTAACTCCTTTCGTAACGTTAGCAAATTTAATAATGTCTATTTTTCGCGATTGTCGATATCGTCGTTCTTGGAATACGGAATGCAACAGTTAAATCTCGTGAAATCTCGAACACGCATGCCACCTTCATATTTCTCAACAATCTCTTTTTTGAGTTCCGTTGTGATTCTAGTCATTTTATATTTTTCTGTTGCCCTTTTGCAATTCGTGATTAATAAATAATAAAATGTTACTTACAAATTAAAATCAGAAGAAATTTAACAAAGTTATAAACCGTAGCACCGCGAACGTCTAGTCTAGTGTAGTACACCGATAGTGCTACTTGTTCATAGATGGTGCATATAATTGAATTAAGTCATATATCGAACAAAAGTCGTATACCGAGCAAAATTTGTTTCGTCCAAACAGGACGTATTCCGAATTGGACGTATTCTAAAGCAGACGTATACCGAGGTTCCACTGTATATATTATCTATATCATTATACTATAATTATTATTTTTAAGTTTAATATTAAAAGCTGATTCAGTTGAAATTAACTTAAGATTTGAAATATTATAGTTTGAAATGGGAGAATATCATAAGAATTCAAGTCCTTCTACTTATATTCATCTTCTTAGTGAAGCACATATGATTTTAAGAAGTTACTTGTTGTTAGAAGAAGGAAAATGCTGTGATAAGGAGATAAAAAATCTCTATTTTACATCATGTACATTAATGGCAGAGCATTTTATAAGGTATAATATTTTTAAAATTTCAAGTAATTAAATTCATGTTTGAAAGTAGAGAATGAATAACAAAGAAAAGTAATTATAGTATGATTTATTATCTATTTATTTGTTGTTTTTTTATAATGCATACCTAAATTTAAGGAACTGTTTAACATATTAAAAATTACTTTTAATTCTCATGAATTATTATTTTATAATATATAATAGTTTTTTTATAAATATAAATATAAATATAAAATTGGATTAATTGGGAAATAATAAAGAATAACAAATACAATGGTACCTTGTATTTTGAATTTAATTTGTTTCAGGAGACTGTTTGAATTCTGAATCTTTCAAAGTCCACAGCCAATTTTTCTCTTTAGGAATAATGGAAAGTGAATTAATCTATTTCCAGACCCTAAACAATATCCCTTTTGATAAACTTATCAGTAAATACATAATTTAAGGTAAAAATAACACAATTAAATGCACTATTTATTTATTTATTTTAGTTACAATAGAAAAAGTCTGAGTGAGACAAAAGATTTCCATCCCTTGCATAACAATTTGCAAAACCCATGACAATAAAATAAATAACAAATAAATAAATGAGCTAAAAAGTTTAACAGGGAAAAAAACATTAAAATACATTAGAACACATTAAATCAGATAGGAAAATGAAAATTGAGAAAGAAAAAAAAGGTTAAAAGTTGTAAAGAATAAGTTTACAAATACTTTTGTATTTGTAAATGTATAAAATGAGTAAATTTTTTATAAAGTATGTTCTTGAGGTTCATCATATTTTCTGAATACAATAAAAAAATAAGATCTTTGGGAAATGAACAATCTAAAAAAAGGTGTGAAAATACATGTAAGGTTATGCAAGTTATGCTGTGGTGTTTTTAGTCAAAGCCAATTGGACTGTATATAACCATTAAAGTATTTAAAATATGAAAACTGATCAAAATATTTTATACATTCTGTAAAAGAAGAGAGCCTCAGTTGGCACCCAGCAATGTTCAGATGGTTAGTAATAGGCAAATGGCAGAGTTTATTTAAAATTTGATAAATTTTTTCAAGTTCTTTAGAGAATTTTCTATAAGGGAACGGACTATCATGGCCCAGATCGGTAAACTATAGTCAGCAAGAGATTGGAAGTTTGAAAAAAAATAGAGCATAATACTTGTTTCAAAGAAATGGATTTGCAAAACCTCCAGAGAATTCCACAATATATGGCATGAGATTGTACTATTTCGGTAATGTTTTCTGAAAACATTAGTTTATTTATTGTTTTCACGTTTTAATAAATTGTTTTAATTTATGAAAACAATAAATAAAATACATAAATTCCATATGATAAAATGAAAATTGCATTTACTATTTGCACATCATTGACTTCGGCATCTTAAACATGGTCTTCAGATCTGCCAGATGTGTACCACTTTCATGTTTCATGATAAGTACCTTTTTTCATCTCAGTCATCAATATCACAGCCTTCCTCTTACTTGTTAGACATCATTGCTTCCACACACTTCTTGGATGTCATGGTTAATAAGAAAAAGTTATATTGGGTTGAACAAAAAGTTTTTGTATATTTTTAACAACTCTTATTATTAATATAGATGCATGATTTGATTGTAACAGTTGAGAAATTTAACACTTTATTGTTAATTTAAGATTGTACTGTACTGCTTATTTAGAAGCTTATTTTATACTTCCAGTGCATTTTTTCACTGCATGCACAGTTTTAACTTTGAAGTATTGTTTAGAATGTCAAGCAAATTTTTGTTGAATTTAGCATTTAAACTTTGAAGTGTTTGAAGTTAGTCATTTGAAGTATGTGGTACCACTGGATTAATTTAAATTCTTTAAATAATATGTATTATTAGACATTTTATATATAGCAGACAAATATTGAATAAAACATATATAATGTTTTACCAGTAATAATTTATCTAATAAGAAAAATTACAAAATATTATTTATATTAGAATATAATTGTTCATATTGACTGTCAATTTAGATTTTTAAATTTATTCTGAATCAAAAGTAAGATTCATATAGATGAAAACACACTTTGCATATTTTTCCAGCAGCACAGAGAAAGCATTGCAATCATTTTCAACGCCTTACAAACTCTATATAAAATTATTTATATTTATTTAGTTAATAAATTTTTAACTAAAAATTTGACTTGTTTTATTACATAATTTTATTAACAAGTAAAATAAATACCTAATTTGTACATTAATAAAATTATCAAACATTTTTTAATTTTGAAATTATTGACAACTTTTGTATTTATGATGTAAATTAAGATAGATATATTTAAATATTTTAGTTGTGATGTCTCACAGGACAGATTATTAGCTGTTCCCTATTTCAATTTATCTCAATTAGCAATAGAAAATGTTATTCAACGTGTCATTGCTCTACATAATCAGGTAAATAAATTTGTTATTAATTTAATAAATTTTTATTATTACATACATTGGGTTGTTTGTATCTTTATTCAAAATATCTATTTTATAAACTTTTTTTTTTATATTTGTTAGCATTTTATGTAATATCCAATCCAAAATATAATAACACATGATTTCCAATATAATATTTTCCAATCCAAAATATATAACGTGATTTCCATTACAGATATAAAATTTTTTTGAAACAAAATAAATTTAATATATTTTTCATTACGTACAGAATAAACATAATTACAATATCCTTGGTTTGATCATTTGAATGAAGTGAAAGATATAATTGAAAATATGAGGAAGTAAATGTGCTGTCACCATTAGCTACAGAAGGCATTAATACATATTATAAGTTTACATATTAATAGATTTACATATAAAGTGAAGTGTTCTTCCTAAGAATAAATTTTAAAGTCTACTGAAATGTTGTCTCACTGCTATTTCAAATTTATTTAGTCTTAGTTAGTGACAACAAAATTTTTTATATATACATTATTAGCAGTGACTTTATAGTGTTGTAATGCAATGACGTCACTGCCAATGAATGAGCTTTACATCTTTACTTCACTCATCAAATAGTCCATGTTTTACTTTCTTATGAAAAATAGGAATATTGACTATAAAGAAATATCCTCTTAGGTAGGTAAATAGTGTGTATTTAACCAGTAAGTAAATGTTATTACTAGGTATTACAGGACTTGCATGTAGCAACATTCTCATTGTTAGTATATACAAGTGTGAATCAAAAAGTAAGTTGCAATTAGCAAGAAATTTTTGTTGATAAATGATATTTAAATGAAATCTGGTAGCAACATTGGTAATACTTCTAGCTATAAGGCATAGCAGATTTGTTGTGACATGGCTGCAGAGGTTAATCAGTTTTCAGTCATGGAAGATGTCACATCATTTGGATGTAGTGTCCAAATTGAAAGTTTGTGCAGAAACTTGTTTCTTATAGGCAAAAAGGTGTAACTCCACTGAAATTCAATGCCAATTGAGGAAAGCATACAGTGAGAAAGCTTTTGCACTACAATGCACACCTCATTCAGCAGACATCACGAAGATCCTACTGAAAAAATTCAGATGGACTGTATGGGAACATTCTCTCTACAGTCCAGACCGCACACCTTGTGATTTCCATGTGTTTTTCCCCATTAAAAGGACTGTTAAATTGTTAATATGACTCCAATGAAGACATCACAAATGTGACACAAGAATGGCTATTGCATGTTGGACAGGAATATTTCTAAGAAGGAATAGAAAAATTCATGCCACACTATGATAAATGTTTAAATAAACTTGGTGATTATGTTGAACAGTAATCACTTGGATTGTACCTTCAAACAAATAAAAATTATTGACCTGTATGTTTCATACTTTTAGTTTTGGTACAAACTTACTTTTTGACTCACCCTCATATATGTATGCTGCATGGGAACTAGTTCAACTGCTTTACTTGTGTATCACAATCTGTTTGATTATGTTGTGTTTGACAAAAAAACATAATGTGAAGAATATGCTACAGTAAACTTTGTGTTCAAACTTGGAAAAATGCTGTAGAATTACTGTCAATGTTACAGAAATTTATAGAAATGATGCTCCAGAAAAAAACAACAGTTATGAGGGATGTACTTAGTTTAAAAACAGACAGGAAACACTAGATTAATCCTGCAGTAAATATTCTTTGCTGTTATAGAATGAGAAAAGTGTTATGAAAGTGAAAATATAGTGTGAAATTATAAGTAAATGATTGCTATTGAGATTGCTTATGAAACTGTACTATATATACTCACTGCACAATCCTGAACCAACATTTTGGAATGTCATACTCTATGTATACAAAGTTTGTTCCTTGCTAGCTTTCTGACAATTAAATACATTGTAGGAAAATCATTAAAGATAGTCTATTCAAAAAAGCTAAATATCCATCCCAAATAAAATTATCACTGAAGAGAAGAATTGAATATTTGACTATAATCTTAAGAGAAGAGAGGATTATCTGAATGGCAGGTAGAACAGCCCAGAAAATCATGCACAATGAAATCTAATGTCAAAGACATGTTGATTGTTTTTTAGTGATGAGATGTGCACCATGAAGTTACATTTTCGGAGAGAAGTATTATTGCTGCTTATTATGTTGAAGTCTTGACACATTTGTGTGAGGCTGTGTGGATTCAAAAATGAAAGGACAGCTGTAACCTGTACCATGACAAGGTGTTTAATTACACAATAATGGCAGTTTAGCAGTTCTTACTTGAAAAAATTTGCCCATTAACAGTAAAATTACATTCATGCAACAGTCCCTACTTTCTCAACTTTGTATTATGTAACTTCTGGTGTTCCCTAAACTGAAAATGGACCTTTGGGATCATTGACTACAGTGGATGATCTCAAAGAACATGCCAAAACAAACTTGCACATGATAGAAAAAACTTGATTATAAAGAATGTTTTAAAGCTTAGAAATAATAAGTATATATTTATAAAATAAATGTATTTTTGAAGGTTATTAGCTTAGCAAGCTTTAGTCAATAGAATTCCAGGACTTTTGAATGACCTCCATATTAAATATAAAAAATACTACTAGATATTTTATATGATTACTTGCTATTTCTGGGATATTTAATAATCTAGTAAGCTAAATTTAGTTGAATGAAATAAAACTTTCACAGTTGTTCTTCTGTTACAGTAATTAGTGTGTAATTCTTTATTACTAGATTATTGCAGATTGAATACAATTGTTTTTAAAATTACAAAATAATCATAATGAAATGGAACATGAATCAAATGATTAGAAATGCAGACATTCTAATTATAAAATATTTTACTAATAACATATTTAATTAAGATTGGTAATATAAAATAAAAAAATTGCTTAATGTGATTTGTATTTTCTTGATGAAAAGAGATAACTGACATGTATTTTACTAAAAATGATAATTTAAATTACTATTATTAGAGAAAAATTGTTGTAACTTTAATCTTAAAAATATAATCTGTTTTTAATCTTGATTTTTTAAAATATGATTTCAAAAATATATATACAGTAATACCCCGAACTTACGCGATAGGTGGGACCGAGCGATAACCGCGTAAGTCGAATTCGCGTAAGTCGGGGTATAATTTCGCATATAAATACATACAAATTATTTTTAATTGGGACAGGAGACTAAAAAAAACAATAATTTAGAAAAAAAAATGTTTAATAAAATCTTAGATAATACATATGTATAACATATTATATTATTATACAATTTTTCACAATTACTTGATTATCACACCATAATTTTAACATTGTTTCCATCTCAGGGATAATACCGTGACGTTTACGAATGATGCTTGAATTTAAAGATTGAGCATTTTTCGCAGCTTCGAGAATTTTTTCTTTACCTTTTATAATTGTTCTGACCATCGATTCCGGTAGATCAAACTTCTTTGCCAACTCACAAATTTTCATTTTTGTATCGAAGTCTTTCATAATGTTAACTTTACATTCCAAAGATAAAGTTTTTCTTTTCTTGTTTGATGCAGAAGAATCAGTTCTACTTCATTTGGATGACATAGTAGAGTCTCTCAAGTCTCCGTAGATAAAACTAACAGAAATAAATAACACAAAATAAATTGTAGCTATATGTCGATTCCACGTGACACGTCCGAATATGTAAGCCGAACAGTAGTGTGGGGGGAGTGAGTAATCAAAAGTTGCATGGCACTCAAACCAAAGACGAATCGGCGCGATTTGAAAATCGCGTAACTCCGGGTTCGCGTAAGTCGGGGTATTACTGTATATGTATACAGTAGTCTCTGTATTCCAACATATATCAGACCAGCAGTTGTCAGATTACTGAATTTTGTTTGTGTGTATGTACTATAAAGTAAAATTGCATTTGGTTCACAAGTCAGATTATCATATTAATCATGATTGTGACTATTTTGTTGACCACATGTACAACAAACAATAGTATACATGTACATCAGTCTCTTTCACATACAATGACAAGTTGTAACATGAAACTTTCATGTGTTCTGCCTTGCAATGTGTTGGATTACTAGATGTGTTGGATTGTTGAATGACAGATTATAGAAACTCAACAGAATACATATTATCATTTATTTTTAATATAAATTAGTTTTTATTGATAATTATATTAATTATAATCATTTTTTCCAGTCAAATCAAGATATTCATATTTTGAAGATACTAATTTTATATCTAGATTACAAGTTATTAAAATCAAATAATTCTTTTGAATTATCTCAGGTAAAATTTTAAATTTAATAAAGTTTAATCTAAAAAAGAAAATTAATTTTATTTTCTCAAAATATAAAAAAGAATTAGTTATATAATTTTGATATTTCATATTATTTAAACAATTTTCATTATAAAGTTTAAGTTTCAGAACTGAACCCACCATAAGCAGGCAAAAAGCATATTATTTATTGTTGCTTTTAATTAGTTAATGGCCAATTAATTAATCAATAAGATTAATTAATTAATCTAATCAATAATAATTATTATTAATTAATTAATTTTTTTTCTGAAGGCAAACTTGTGTTTTGTTTTTACTGTACACATTGTTATTAGCTCTTATGAACATACTATTAATAATAAATTTAAGATACGTTTTAATTTTTTGATATGCTTATTCCTCATTTATCACATTTATAATTTGTAAGGAACCAAGTCTGAGCTTTATTTTTATTTTACTTTTATTTTGCTTTCATTATATTTTGTTTGGGGCTTATGTTTAGTTAAGACGAAGGTTTCCTCACCATTCACCTTAGTAACTTAAAAATAGAAGAAAAACCAACTCACCGACGAAAGAAAAGCGCCGTAGAAAAACTCGCGCACACTTGCGCTTCCCAAGCGGAAAAAAGTAAGTCCGCACCGAGAAAAAGGGGGGGGAAACCCCACAACCCAGTTAGGAATCGCTAAACCTTAAAATAATAAAGCATCCCGATAATTGTTAAAAAGAATAATGTAAAAGGTTAGCGAAGTATTGTCGGAAAATAATCTGCCAGATAAACGAGAAAAATTTAATGTTACAGATAATTATGTAAATGAGGAGAGTGAGCTCATTCAGAATTGTGACGTCACCTCACACTATAAAGCCTCTAACTCAAGTGAAAACGAACGAGGTGAATTCCTGATAGCAACGAGCTTTGGTGAGCTTCGTAGCAGTGAACGAGAGAGGTGTCCGATAGGATTTTGAAGTTATTCGATTTGTGGATCGACGATTATAGAAAGTCTTGAGAGTTTGAGGAAATAGGTTCCTAGTATATTGAGGTGACGATTAGGATCTTTAATTTATAAGAATTATTGTTTATAAGTTAATTCTTTGATTTTGTCGAATTCCAAAGGGGAATAGAATTAAGTTAGAAATAGATTGATTTGAGTTTGTCGGATTGATTCTTGTTGAATTTCATTGAATAAATTATTGTTTGATTTTTACTAAATACTGTATATAGAAGTTTAATTAAATATTTGATTTTGTTATTGACAAACTTTGTCATTATTTAATTCGGTGCACGCTTAAAGTCCAGGCCTGGCACACTAACGCGAATCCGCGTAAAGTACCCGTTAGGGAACGGCTATTTCCGGCACACAGTAGTGTCGATAATCGTTGGAAAGTCGGAAAAATAATATAGTACTTTACAAATTTTTATGGGTTTTGGCTAGTAACATGTAATTTGATTTTATTTGGAAGTAAATATCATTTTTGTAAATTTTTCTCCTGAATTTAATTTTTATCTAATTATTCTGTATTATATAACTGCAGTATTTTGCATACAAATATAATGTTAGCTGAATTGAAATAATTTTTCAAAAAAATGAATTGTATGAAAAGAAATGAAAGAAAACTGTCATAATATGTTTGTTAACTTTCAGAATACAAAATTAATGTTTTTTGGAAACATGAAAACTTTCATTTGCTTTTTGTTTTAAATAAAATTACTCAAAGACAGTAAATTTTTTTATATTAAACAGTTGTAAATATTTATTCTTAAAATAAATCTATAGTTATGTATATAATGATAAAAATACTCTAGATTAAAATTTTGAAAAAATAAAATTTTAATATAAAATGAACAGCTAAAATTGACAAATTTATGAAATATAAATTGTTTTTAAATTTTATTACAATTTCTATATCTGTAAGCATGATAAAAGTATTCTTGTTTAGATGCTATACGGTTAGTCCTAATGGTCTGAACAAAACAAAATGTAACATGCATAAAAATGATGACACAAGGAAAATAATACCAGATATTTTAAAAATGGATTATAATTGTAGTTCATTTTTAAATTTACTTCTTTACTCACTTTTGTAACAAAATATGCATTAGAAGTTCTTTACATATAGATTTTTAGACATCCAATTAAAGAATGATATAACCACTGTCTATTGGGTATTGAACAGTTTTTATTATACCATCATTGCAAGCACTTTCAACATTTTATCAATATTATCTTCCGACAAAGAAAATAACTTAATTTAGGAACATTAGAATAAATTTTTAAAAATGCAACATTAAATATTCAAAAATGGAATATAAATTTGCAAAGTTAATTTTTGGACAGCAATATTTATTTATAACTGTTGCTCTCTTATTGTATAGTTTAGTTAAAATAATTTACAATTGATCTTGAAGTTAGAATACTATTTTCAATGATATGCAAGTATCACTTTTTATTTTTTATTATGTGAGAGATAATTACGAAGAATGAAAAACTTAATATAATATCTTAGACAGGATATTTTGAAATTCTTGTTACAAACTTATAGGACAGATTCCTTAAGAAAAACTATGGTAAAAATGTTCAGTAACGTTTTTCGAATAAAGCCTTTATTAAGGAGTTATAGACATTTCAGTGACTTCACTATTGGATTTTTGTACAAATGAGGAAAAATTCATGTTTTATTCTTTTATTTAACTCGAAAGGTTTTTTCCAAAAGAAATAAGTAGATTCATTTTAAAATTTAGTACTTTATTTTTATGTATTTGAAAGCAACATTCTTTTTATAAAAATGTGTAATACTTCTTAAGCATTTGTTTCACTTTGCATTGTGATCAAGAGCTGCTTTATATGGTGACTTCCAACATCTATGCAAATATTGTATCTGCAAAACATATTTTGGTACATACACTCAAAAATATCTGTTGTGTGTTGAACTTGTGCCAGAAATCATAATTAGTGCAAGCATGTCTTCCTTCTACTTTGACGTAAGCTCTCCATGTCTGCAAATTTTATTTATTTTTTTTTATATCTCTGCTGCAGCATGGCAGTAATAATTTACTTACAAAGTAAAAATTTACTAAATTCATTTAAAAACTATTTATTTTAATGAAAGTAAAAGATTACAATAAAAAAATATATAGATACTTTTTTAATCTTTTCACATGCATCAAATTCTGGAAGTGATGTCACTGAACGTTAAACCTCTGTAACTCCTTAATAAAAGCTTTATTCAAAAAATGTTATTAGACATTTTTATCTTAGTTTTTTCTTAAGGAATTTGTCCTTAACATGAATTTTGAAACACTATATCCTAGCAGTAAATATATTGCAAAAAACATTTTTACTACTTTTGTCATCATTTATAGTATGTCTGTTGCATTTCATTTCATTTACACCATTAATATTAGTTACGGAATATTTTATATAGAGATACTCAAAAAATTTGAATTTTAAATAAAATCAGATTTTATTTAGGGAAAAAAATCTATTCCATAAATATTAGCTACATAAGCTCTTTATATTTCAGTCAACTGCTGAGATGATTTTGGATATATATTCAGAGGTTGCATCAGATAATTTATGGAAATTGATCTTATTATCAGGAATATCCTCATATAAATTAGGTGAGCATTAAAAATATTGATACATAAAGTGGTGACACCTAAAGTAATTTTTTTAAATAGCATATTACTTTAATTTTATATTTCTTTCTGTGTGTTTCTCTATCTGTACAAATATTATCTTTAAATCTCTAAAAAGTTTATAGATTATTTGATAAGATGGTAAATTGCATTTCTTTTTTCTTCTTGTTTACTCTTTGTTAGTTAAATTTTTAAATAACTTAAGTATTTTATATATACTGGTATATATATTTTACTATGCTGAAATTAAAATTGAGACTATTTATTAAAATCCTTTTTTGAATTCAGGTTGTTATAATTCTCTTAACAAAGGTTATACTATGTTATTCTAAGTAAAGAACATTTAAAATTTTGTTTTATAGTATTAATTTTTATCCACAAATTAATACTCTGTAAATTAAAGCAATACTATGGATGAGCTATTAAAATTTTAAAATATTAGAAATAAATATCTTGTCTTAATTGTCTGACTCTTTATATAAATTTTATTTTAGAGAGTTTATTTTGAACAGTTTTGTAATCACTCCATTTACTTTTAAATACAGCAAGAAATTATATTTTAGAAAATAGTTATCTGCATGTAGAACTGAGAATAGATACATGTCTTGGAAAATTTTTTATTTTTTATATTGAATTAACTGAAGAAGGTGGAATATATTCTATTTGATATAGACTGTTCATTAAATGTTAAGCACGGATCACAAAGTTTTTTTGTGTGAATGGCTATCACTGTCTTCTTAGTTTTTGCAATTTCTTATTGAAGATATCATTCAATGCTGTCAAGCTTGCAATAATGCTAGAATAAGTCAGTTTCCATATTGACTTCAACATTTGTATTGAAACTTCTTTTTTGTATTCCCATTTATTGTTACTTGCAATTATCTTTTGTTTTTCTGTTAATATTCATTTTTTCCCAAATGTATCTAAAGTTTGTATGCATAATTCTATGAAAGGTTTATAAATTGGTTTAAGTGGTTTTGAAAATATTGTTGTTTTTGTGATCAATGCTTAACTTTTGATGGCCAGTGTATTATAAAAACAAAGATACATTTTCTTTTATATAATTGTTTCAATAATATGAAAATATTATTTTTGTTTATATCTGTAACTCCTTTCCAAAAATTTAAAATTACACCAATCAGCAATCACTCTGTTTATATTATTGCAACATAACATTAAGAATATATGCTTTTTGTGAGAGTGCAAAAGTTTTATTGAAATTATATGCATACTTCATTAAAATGTATCATAAATGTTTCTCTTGAAATAATTGAATTTGCAAGATCCAAAATGTCAAATAAATGACTCTTGCACTAGAATTCATAAAATATCAAAAAAAAATTTAATAAACTAAAAATACCAATACTGGACTTTCTGACTACAAAACAAAAAGCTGAAATATTACAAATTTTAAACTCAACATTTATATTTACAACATTAAATGTTTGTTAGTACTACTTACAAAATTGCAATTATTTATGATCTGAAATAATTAACTTGATGAAGAAAAATCCTTAATCTTCGCCAACTCAATCAAGGTAAATTTAATAGCTTACAATTCCACAGCTATGCACTGGCCAGCAGGAGTGAAGTCTAATTTGCCGAATTATAAATATTTTAGAAAAAGTTTAATCAGAATAAACTGTTTTGATTCTTTAAACTGTATAGCATTGTTTTTGTTTCAAGAGTTTTTTAGAAAATATTGATTTATAAAATAATTTTTATGCAAATTTGTAAATGCACGTTTGAAAGGATAAAGTATATTTTTTTTGGTGAATAATACGATATAAAAAAAATAATAACATTTATTTTAAAATTATCTAATCTGTACATTTTATTGAATAGTGAATATTAATTCTATCAGTTAATTAATTAAATTTTTAAAATCTGTTTCAGAAAAAGCTATATTATTATTGAAGAAAAGAATTACAAGTAAGAAAAAGTATGTAACTTTTGTTAATGTATGAATTTCCATTTATAAAGTTTTAAGTAGGAATTAAATTATATTTATAAGAACCAATTTCAATGTGAAGTATAATCAAACATAACCAATCATTTATATACTGTATATATATATTTGATCAATATATTTAAACAGAAATTTCTATTTAATCCTGTAAATCTATATACAATTTTAATTTTCAGATGACAATTTTTTTATAATTTGATATATTGATATTTTATAATTTTTTTATATTTTTTATAATTTATCTAAAAAGAAAAACTATTTATCAAAATGATTGGCTTATATGCATGAATATATTTTATTTATTTTTAAGTTTGTGAGTTCAGATTTTATAATTAACATTTTTGTATATCAGTATTTTGCATTTTTAATATAGTCTTTTTATATATAAATCGTTTAAAACTAGAAATGAAAAGTACACTAATTTATAGTGTTGGAAATACATTATAATCTTCTACTATCTTTTAAATATTTCATACAGCGAAAGTCATAGATAACATTATTTAGATTTTAGCTGAAGAAATCAACTTATTTTATTTACTTACTTTTAACATTATTCTGAGTTTTTTATTTTTAAAGAAATTAAACTGATAACTTAATATTCATTTCTTGTGCTATATTGAATGTAAAAAGTTCATCAGATTACATCATATTTTTGAATATAGAATATATATAAATTGTCAACTGAAAACTAAAACTGTATTTAAACATATTTAATAATCCTAACATATATATATATATATATGTTAATATGTATATAAAGTTTAAATCGTGTCCTTTGATTTCCAGTCTATCAAAAAGAACACCTTATGACTCCTTGAACACAAATTAAGTCTGTTTATTAACACTATTTACAGAAATACACAACAATCCATTACTTCTAACAACGTACATCTTGATTACTTCTAACAACGTTTTAGTCCAGATTCCTTTCTCCTTATACAGTCTTAGACTAGACTCCTCTTCCTCGTTCCAATGTTACCTTATATTTAAGTTTTGAATCCATTGGCCAACCAGTCAGGGCAGAGCTGAGCTTTCTGTCAGGTTTGCTCCAGTTGGCATACCTGTCTCAATTTGTCCAGGTGACTTGCCAACAGTCTATTTCCAGAAAATGTGCTCTGACGAATGAAAACTTGACTCAGCTTGTCACCACTTGAAATCTCCTTGGCTATATTTATATATATACAGTATATAAATTAGAAGAATAATATTTAATAAAGTTCTATGAATATTCATAGAACTTTATTAAAAATTAAGAAAATTCAAGAACAAAAATAAATACATTACAAATATTATTCATTTTGGGAAGTACAGATAAGAAAACTATTATTTATTATAAAGTTTTCTTATCTGTACTTTTCAAGGTAGTCATTCACTTTCTGATTTTCTGAGAAAATAGGATCTCTGTATTTAAGTAAATATGGTCCTATTGCTTACTTTCCTTAGCTTCAGTTTGAATTGTTTAACAAGCAAAATATTATTTTAAATTGTAATTTTTTTTAATTGTCTAAAAGCAATATAGGGCCAGATAAAACCTTATAGTGGGCCTTATAGTTTGAGTTCTCCTAATTTAAATTATCTCTAATTATTAAATTATTTAATTAGTTTATTCATAACTTCAATAGCTTGAATAAGATATAAAAATATTCAATGTAATGTAAAAAAAATATTTGGAAATCTTTAATAATGAATTATTTTAAACTTATATAAATTGATGTTATCTCATATTCTTTTTCATTATTAATGATTTTATTTTGATTAATTGAATTATTTTACCATTTAGATGAAAATTTTCCATTTAAAATTTGAAAATAACATAAATTTGAAAAGACATTCAGCAATGTATCAAGTTGCTTACAACATATTTTATTAATTTTTTGATTTTTTAGATTGTAAAAAATGAAATTAATATAGAAGAATTAAAATTTTGAGTTTAGAAATTTATTTATAAAACTCAAACTATTCAAAATTAAATAAGATTCATTAATGATATTTGAATTATAAATTGTCAAAAATATGAAATGTCACTATTGTGTGACAGATATATGTTAAAAGATGCAAGAATGGTTTTCTGAAGATTATCAGTTTTTATCTTCCAGCAGTTATTTCTTTATTATCTTCCACAGTTTGGAAATTTTATTAAATACACATGCAATCTTAAGTTATAAAAGTGAAAAATCTTGAAGTATTAAAATTAAATTAAAATATTTTAGTGGTATAAATATTGTAATTTTTAGAATAAAAGTTAAAAAGTTTTCAAATTTGTTAACTTTTATAGTACTATTTTAAGTTTGATTCAGTTTAAATGGTTTCTCTTTCTAGTCTTACTAATAATGGAGTGTATATGAACAAATAACAAATTTAAAAACATTTAGGTAGTTAAAGGCTTAATTTTTGTAATTGAAAAATACATTAAATGTTTATACATTTATAATGTATAATTTTTTTCTATAATGGTGACAGTTTTCTTAACAGGAAATTGAGCATTTAGTATGATTAATTTAATGGATTTTTCTATAATGGTGACAGTTTTCTTAACAGGAAATTGAGCATTTAGTATGATTAATTTAATGGATGAAACAAAAAATGTGATATTTAATATTTGTTTATAATAAAATATTTATTTATTTGTTTCCATGTAAAAATAAAAAATAAACATACTATTTTAATTCTTATGGAAAAAGGAGAATGAAAGTTTCATACTATACAGTCAATGATTGTTTAATTTAGGAAATATATCAAATATCTTTTCCTCAGTCTCCTCTTTCACTTTTTAATAAAAATTTCTACAGCTTATTTACTTATTTATTTATTTGTCATACTACATTTTAATGGTTTTCACATCTTTTGTAATTTGATCTGAAAACACTTTAGCAAGAAAATGTTAAAAATTTAAAAATGGTATTCACAACAACTATTGTTATAATATATTAAATTCATTGAATTTAAGTATAAACAGGATCCTGTTCTTTTTATTATGAATGATTGCTTGAGATATTTAAGTAAAGACTGCATTATTATTTTTCTTTAACAATTAATTATAAATTTTTTCCAGTACTGCTGCAGATACTTTAGCAATTGCTGTGTTGCTATTGAAGAAGGGAAATAAAGATGCTGCACAAAATATGCTTTTATCCTTATCAAAAGTAAATTTATTATCATTAAAAAATTTATATAGAAAGTTTATTATTGTTTATAGGTATTTACAACAATAAATTATCAATAATTTAATTTATTTACTGAAATAAAGAACAAACCAAAGATTTATTTAAATAACCAAATGTATCTAAAAGTCGTATTATTTTTTGATTAGACTAATTTTAATCAAAAAATAATTGTTAAAAGTAATTTCATCAACTAATAATTAAATTAATTGATTGAATTAATGCATTGTATTATAATATCATAATGAGACCAATATTGCTTTATAAATAATAATTGATTAGCTTGTTTATCGTAAACAATGAAATTTGATAATTAATATTTTGTCAGTAACAGAAGTCTAGAAACAGGAATCCATATCTTTTCAAATCATTTTAGTGTGGTTTTTCAATTGATTCCTTTGCTTTAAATTATTGATTATTCAGAATTTAGTTGAGTTACTAGTCAGTGTGACTAAATTTTTTTTTCTTTTTGATAAAAATTAAAAATTAAGAGAGAGAATAATTTAAAGAATTTATTTACTTATTTTTTATTACAATAATCATTACAAATATTGTTTTGTTGTATTATAAATTTAATAGGATGAATTGTGTACATTATTACATTCTATTCAAAAATTATTATGGAATGAAGAATTTTCTGTTTCTGCTGTTGGACAGGTAATATATAATAATATAAATTTAATTAAAAACCTTTATGTATTTAAGTTATTAATGTTTTGTTATATGTAACAGAAAAGATTTATCTTTATTGATGGAATTAAATCTTAATATTTCAATGATTTGCTTGTAAATCTGTCATTTGACTTGGACACCTTTATTATTGCATTAGATGTATGATAAAAGCATGATATTAATTTACAAAAATGTCAGTAATAATTGTTTAGATCTAATTACAGTTTTTTCAATATAAACAGAAAGTTTTATCAAATTATTATACATTATTACACATTTTATATATTAAATATATATTATTAATATTAACTGAGTTACATGTAGTATGCTGAAGGCTGTTTAAGGAATCCATTAGCCTTTGGAAACGGCAATTTCACATATAAGATGCAGGGCTTTTTTTCTGCAAAAGTTGCCTTATATGCCTTAAAATACAGTATGTAAAATCTGTATGATGCTTGCATCAGATTATGTTGGTTTTGAGGGCTAAATTTTCCTTGGATGCATGTTGTATTTTGTACAAAAAGTGGGTAGTTCTGGTTGGAATTGTTTATATAGTTTAAGTTATGTTTTAAACATACTCCCTGCCAATATTCAAGGCAGGGAAAAATAAGGCTACTCTCAGACTTTTAATAAGTCAAAATGTTTATTGGGTTAGCATGTTCAGATATTTTTCCTTATTGTTAGAATCTTAAAAGTGAAGAAATAAATATGCTTATAAACAAGTTTACAATTACTACTAAATAATAACAACAAAAATAACAACACAATATGTATTATTTTGTTTTGTGCATTAATGTCATAAAACTCATGCATCGACACAAGAACAGCTAAACCATTTGTAAGAAATTATACACACTTACGCTAGTGAAATACAAATGGAATTGGCATAGACAAATGCAAAGCAAAAAAAAAGGCATCCTGAAAGAATAATTATTTTCTACTTGAAAATGGATAAGACATTGAATTCATGGAGGAAAGTGAAGTCTACAAATTAATTCTTTTTTGTTTCTATGTCCTTACTTTATTGATTCTTTTTTGTATCTTTGTCTACATTGGAATTTGTCTATTAATAGGCCTTATTACAATGGTTTAGTTTCCGTTTAGCAAATAGAGGAAAACTTATTTACGAAAATCAAAACTTGAGATACAATGTAGACAAAGATACAAAAACGAGTCTACAAATATTTATTCATAAAACACGCACAAACAAAACAAAGACTAACAAAGGAATATAACAGCAGACTAAATTCAGTACTAACAACACAGTTGAATGCAAAACACACATTTATGACATATTTGTTTGGAGTTATACATTGGACACACACAAAACTAAAATACAGTCGACCCCCTATAAGATATAGATACGTTCCAATTTATTAGGAATCCGATTTCTTACAAGTCGTTCCAATCACAGCCCAACACGTGTAAGTTTACGGACTACGGCTGATTGAAAGGTTTTCTTCCATAAAATTAATCGATTCTACACTAATCCGACTCAACATTTCCAAAATACGTATATTTTTTCGTAGTTTTATAGGAATCGTAATTATAGGGACCGTAATTATAGGGGGGTCGACTGTAAAAGAAAACACAAAACAAAAAAAAAAAAAAACACCATTCTAAGTCATCAATAAAAAGGTTGATTCATTCTCATGAAGATGGAAGAATGAGGTCTCACAGATATTTTAAATCTGCACTACAAACAAATACAGTCACTACGAGAGATTTTTCTATAAAAAACAAGGAACATCACAATTACACAAAGCTGTAACACTTGCAGACAAAAACAGTACATTAAACCTATGTGAGGTTCCAAAAATGGGTTGGAATTAAAAATTTATTAAAATGAAACTAGAAAAACTTTCATTGTTAAAACTGATCAAAGGTCGGATTAGTCATGCAAGTCATATGAGATGGAGACAAGAAAAAAAATATTAATGTCAAACATGATGTAATAGATGTAAATGAACATTGACTAGTAGAGACAAGGTGCTTGTATACAATCAATTAGAACATAGAAAAATTTTGAAAAGGAGAAAGGTTAAGGATAAAAAGGGACATTGTGTCAGGTCATTAAAATTCTAAAACATCATAGACTAGACAACAATGAGGTAAAATATGAATGCTGGTTTCAAAGTTCCATCAGCACCTTCCATCCAGAGTTAACAGATGGTGTCGGGTAGATTCTCCGAAGTGGACCTTTCTCGTGACCTGAACAGGTCTTGTCTTTCACTTAGGGACAGACAAGGAACCAATCGGGAAATGGGAAAAAGGAACATGGAGCCAATCAGAATGGACAAAAGAAAGAACAAAGATTGATATAATCTCTGATCTTTAAGGACAGACTCACTTTCTGTAAACTATGAAAACTGTGCACCTGCACACGATTAGTCAATGGTTAGTTCATTGTGCCCAACTTGTAACCTGTGCCACGATGGACTCGGACCATGTTGCCGACACCAACCAACAGAGTCTCCTCATCTGTCGCTGACCCGGGGCCACCTTTGATCGACAAACAAGAAACAACATCGATGTCCAGGACATCAGAACAACCAATTGTTTTAAGGAAACTATTTTTTTTTCTTAGTGTAAGTTTATTTCATGTTACAATAAATGGTTTTTGTAAGATACTTGTCATCTTTGTCTCCGCTGCCACCACCCACATATGAAAGGACCCTAGACCATAACTGTTGGGAAATTAACTGATTTCCCCTAAAAGTTGGCTTACTTACACCTACATAACACTGATTTTGATCTAGGTCTGACATTATCTGGCAGTCTTGGGCTTGAAAGGAGCTCCACAGTAGGCATTGTAACAATCTCAGCCAGGATTATGTTGACAGAACAGCATCACACTGCTGGTTGACTCTTGAATGTCTCTTCAGAGAGAAAGAAGGGTTTATGATGGCCATAGAAGATCATTTCATAAATACAAAAAACTACAGGAAGCACATTTTAAAAGACACAATATTTACAGATAACATTTGTAGGAAATGCATATCATGCTTTAACATATCACATTAGGCTGCAAGCTTTTAACATAAACTTACTACTTATATTAACATAACCAAATAGCAAATATAATATATCAAAAACTTGCACACAAATAAACTATTATACACCAAAGAACTATTACTACAAATACACACCTCGGATCATCATACAAAACAACACACAAAATAAACTATGACTGTACAATGATAACAGACAAAACAATATATAAAGGTTAAACACTCGTTTACAGGTACTGGTACAATATATAATAGACTCACAACACCTTTAAGTGACCAGTAAAATATTTAATTGTAAAAAACAAACGTTTTCGACCGTATTTTACAGTCTTCTTCAGGTTAAAAGTTCCGAGATTCAAAGAGTCATTGTGCTTAAAGATTTAACATTTTTTAGAACGTTTTGGAACATATCTAACTTTGTGTATAAAATTCATTTTGCGCAAATGTATCAAGCATTGCATAAACAAAAATATATAAAAATATTATTTTACACACACGTGAAACGGTGAAAAGACATCTTAAATAGAGTTGTGGACATCTTCCCCTTCATACACAAATTTCCAAGCTGTAGAAATATTAATCACATCCTTATAGTTGATGCAGTTATTGCATAACCCCTCCATATATTTCAAGAGCACAACCAGTGACGGCCCGAGGCAAGTTTCAGGATGGAGCGAGATTTTATTATGGCGCCCCCTTGGTTGCCCCCAATTTATACCCTTTAATTTTTTTACCACTGAGGAGCCCCCTAGGACTTAGCGCCTGGAGCATCTGCTCCGTTCGCCCTATGGTAGGGCCGGCTCTGAGCACAACAGTTCTTCGAATCTCGGAACTTTTAATCTGAAGAAAACTGTAAAATACAGTTGAAAATGTTTGTTTTTTACAATTAAATATTTTACTGGTCACTTAAAGGTTGTTGTTGTGGTTAATTCAGAATCAGCGGAGAGACACTTAGATGAAACATATTACACTGGTTAAGGTATCTTCCTTTAATCTATGAATTATAGTACAAGAGTCTTTACATAGCAGTAGGACGAACATCCGCACGTGTCGACAGACAGTAGTCCGAACAAAGGAACAGGTTAAGACAAAGGGTCACAAAACCTTTTGTTTGGTTATTGGGTAGGTCCCTCTAGTGGGTCAAATTGGTTTGCGTTGAGAGTATCGACACCTCCCCTCAATTTGATATCACGGTGGACCTTCTATGGGTCCGATACCCATGTTGGCGACGCACGACCAGTGCTTGTTCGAAAACAATGGTTTGGTTAGAACGTCGGCCGGCATCTCGCTGGTTGGTAGATATTTGATGTCTACGTCTCTGCGTTCGAGAGCCTCCCGGATGAAGTGATGTCGTATCCCGATATGTTTTGTGCGAGAGTGAAAGATCGGGTTTCTGGCAAGTTTCTGGGCGCTCTGATTGTCGTTGTATATCGTTATGGGATGATCTGATCTTGAGTGAACGTTGCAGAGAAGGTTTTTAAGGTGGATTGCTTCCTTTGCTGCTTCGGTTAGTCCGATGTATTCGGCTTCAGTTGAGCTGAGTGCGACGGTACGTTGTTTTCGTGATTCCCAACTCACTACTGCGCCTGCGAGCATGAACATATAGCCTGTGTAGCT